GTTCTTTTGCGCGAGCCCAACGGGGTCGATCCCGCACGAGGTGCATGCGAAGCACGCAGTAGTCTAGGGTCACGGTATGCAACGCGTAGGGCTATCTAACGTGTTCCCCTATCCGGCTAGGTCGCTTGTCTCTCAATATTTCACCTCATGCAAGCTAAAATTGCCAGCCAGTCCTATGGAATCACCTGCCTATCTTTCTACCACGGCTCTGAAGCATTATAAAGGATTCTGTTTGGCTATTGGGCTAAAGAGTTCTACTGGGATCGGCATTGAGATGAAAGGGTATCCTCTTGTGGCTGATAATCTAGAAGGTCGAGGGCGGGTGTGATTAATCCCCAACAACATCGCCAACGTTACTAGCCTTTTCCCGGCACATATTGCTCCGATTATGTGGGTTGGTTGGTTGGTAGGTACATCTGCAGCCAAATTGGACTGAGCGAAGCAGGTGTGAGTGATTTAGATAGGATCTTACATGGTTGTCTCTTCACTGAGATCCTTGGTAACAACTGTGACCTGAATCTGACCTCTGATTTGTCCTCTTGTACACGTTCCTGCTACCTACTGTAGGACGCACCTTGTACATATACGTGCCGCCGCTGTAAAAGGACCCTCCACATAGTAGGGGGTTCTTGGCAAGTAAGAACCTTAAAATCTTTCCACGTTGGTTCCAAGGGGGGAAGGGCCAGTCAGGCCCGAAGTAATGGGTGGCTTATATTGTACCGGTGCCTGTGCGAAAGCAGTGTCAGCAATAGCACGCGATTTGCCGGCTCCACGGGAACCCCAAGCTTCTCTCGTCAGCACCCAACATCAGTAGGGCAGAGATAAAGAGCAAAAAGACGTTGTGTAAAGACTAAGAGTTTCATATCTAAGTACCTACTTAGTACTAAACGACCTTGGAGATAGCAGAATTCGTATCGCGGCTTTGGCATTAAGGTCGGCGACCAGATATTCGGTTAATGTCGCCTAAGCTGGTAATATATACTAGGGTTGGTCATAAGTAGGATTCCTTTCGTAACAGCAGTTTCGAGACGAGAAATGGTAGAGAAAATTGCGACTGATCATGCGCGACTACGAACAACCATGGTTGTGACTTGGTCCGAGCGCACGATAAAATGATTTGTATTTTATCGTTGTACGGTAATCTGGTAGGAGGCTCAGCACTAGGCTGGCGCCAGCAGCCTTTCGGGATACGGAAGACATCGGGCCTAATTCTATCTTAGGTAGGTAAATAGGTAGGTCTAGAGGTCTGGATCGCTGAGAAATCGTGTATTAAACGTAGACGAGAGAGAATAGGTTAAGGGGCAAAAACAATAGACTGGCCTAAAAAAAGACAATGGTTATCGGCAGAGGAATGCATATCATGGTCCTGCGAAGTCAATCACGGATAGCGAATTGTCGTTGGGATTATGGAGGGTAGTGTAGGTGTGTGTGTTTCAGAGACCAATACAGCTCTCATCCGAAGGCCATGTGGCACCTGCATGCAGCATCCATCGTCTCTATATCGGCTCTTGGCCGAGCAAGGCTGACAAGGCAGCAGGAAAAGGAGAAAACATATTTGCTAGAGTTTCTTATTGGTGGTGGGGAATATAACTGAGGTAGTGGTTGTTCCGTAAATATCTATTTGCAAGAAAGTTAAGGAGTAGGAATCAAAAAAACAATTGAAACAATGTGATTCATTGTGCCTTCTTAGGAATGTTGGCGCGGTATTTTCGGACTTGTCCGGATTCTCCGACCAATGCGTCAACGATTATAAATTAGTTAGAATATTTTCAGAGCGGCTGTAATCGTTAGGTAGTTGGTACTAAGGCGTAGGCATGAACATTTTTTTCTTATTCCTTCTAGGTAGAACATACCAATGATAATTCGTATCACGAGTATCTTAGATGACTTCTAATTTTGATAGTACACCTCTGAATTATTTGTCACCATCAGGTTTGTGGGGATAATACCTCCAAAAAAGACCCTGCAGACAGATACACTATTGAGTATGTAGAAAGTAATTCGGAAAGGGGATGGTATAATGCTGGGAATGCCTAGGATCTTTGATTTCCACGATGTCACTATATCCGCATTACCTCCAGCTGAACCATCTTCAATCATGATGACAATGAATTGGCGGATTCGATGGTATTGCAGCAGAGCCGAGACCCGTCCGAGCTGGCGGATAATCGTGGATATTCCAGAAGGAAATTCGAAAAATCTGACTAGCCAGCCCTAAGAGGGGTGATTTGGTAGCCAATAAGAAGCGTTAAATCGGCTTGGTAAGGGTCGACTCCAAAAATAGATGACTTACAAAGCACGTGCGAGACAAATGAGGGTCGTCCCAGGTCTTAGTTGTATTAGTGTAGGACCGCCTTTTCCCACATTTCCACGTTGATTCGATCAATGGGGGCCAAAACACCCCAGCCCCTTTTATCACTTTACCGCTTTACGTAAGGGAAGGACATGGGAGGTTTTCCTCAAGAGACAATTTTACAAGATCAGATCGCTTGGCGTCTTGCTGAAAACATTCCGACGAATCTAAGCCCCCTTCCACGCGTTGTTCTCGAAGGACTGAACATGCGCCATTAGCAAAAAAGAAAAAGCCACCAGCTATTTGATTCGGCCTCTTTTTGGAACATTTCATGGGGACACAGCATCTCTGACACATTCCATTGGCTGTTAGAGAATCCCCAAGGAGTAATTAAACATTATGACTCTAGCTTGACTCTTCTAGCTATGTCATTCCCCATAACATGACTTATTACATACCTAGGTATGTGCGTATAGATAGATATAGTTATGTAGGGGAAGCCGCAGTCGATAACTACTAGGCTCAGATAGGCTTGATTCTTCACTAGCATTCCCATGGGATTCGGGGTCCCCTAAGTACGTGTTTACGGCGTTTAGAATCGTATCGAATAACCAACCGATACCGACACAGCCCGCAATGCTGATAAGTTTGTGGGTTTAGCTTGTTATTTGCAATAGTGACGATTATGACGATGACGACGACGATGATGTCGGGAGTCGGATAGCTATCAATTTACAATTATCCACAGATCTGCCATTATTCTAGGATTAGATATGTACGTAAATTAATCATGTGTCCCCACGATGGAGTCTCTCCAGGAGCCTTATTGATAACTATATCTAATACCATCGCTCATCATAGCTTGGATTGGCAATTCCGTGCGCATTATGGGTATCTAATTAGAATTATGTTCATGTATTGTACCTAGGACTCGAAAGTTGTGCTTTAACCGAGTTACTGATGTAATAAAAGTAGGCTCAGGTTAACAGGGCTTGTGAAGATGAAAGGCGAACTCGTTCCAATTCTACTTTACGAGTGGTCAGAGTACGCTCATGGGTTCCGCTGAGTGCTTGGCCGAACAAACAAACGAGAGGGCGATGTGATTCATGCTGTTTGAATCTAACGCAACAAAACTCCAAAACGATACGTGCTGAAGTGCGACATGATCCAGAAAAAGATTATGCCCCCTGGTTTTACCTAAACTGCGTAGGAATTAGAGGCAATTCCAGGGAGAGATAGCTGATAGCCTGTAGTCTGAAGATGTCGTGATGGAGTGTGTTATGATGTAGTGATAATGTAGGTCTAATAAGAGGAAATAAGTCTATGCTTTCCCATTATAGGTAGGTATCTACGGCAATGCAGAATCATTGGTTCCCATTTGGTGGCCGTGTTCCCTTGTCCGCCGTATCTGCCTCCTTTCTCGAAGCCTTCATTAATTCTCCACCATGGTCACAATGGTTTTTTAGTGTTTGGATGCTCGTAAAATCCATCGTCTGGTGTTAGTGAAATAGGCTAATACCTATTAGAGGTTAGGGAGTTATTAGGAAGTAAAGGTACCGCCTATCCAGCCCTATGAGTTAGGTACTAAAGGTGCTAAGGCAACTGTCTATAGTGGGGTGGAAAGTTACCTACGTATTACATTTGTATACTCGTCGCCGCTTTTAGATTAGGAACGGTACTTAGGTACGCAAAAGTTATCATGTCGCGAAATTCGGGCAAATTTAGCAAAGTCCGTCGGCTCTGGGCTCTCAATATCCCCTGTCAACAAAAAGTACCTAGGTACCTAGCTACATGGGTACTCACATATCTACTGGTGGATATTGGATGTAGCCCAGCTGGGCTGTTAAGGTCAAATGTCTGGTGGGTACTGTACAAAGATACATTTATAGTATACTTTACCATTCGTACCCTCGTACTTCGAATCTCACCCCTCTCTTCCTTTTCTTCTCGTTCTTCTTTCTTCCCTTAGACCCTTGTCCTTGTCCTTCCGCACGAGTCCACTACCTTGCCCTACCTTGACAACCCTGTCCATCCTCTCGCCCCCCGGTCCCTACCTTACCGTACATACCGCGTACATCCACCTGGGCTTCTTCTTCTCCAGGGATCGTCCGCTACCTCTTACCCTTACCATCTATCCATCTACCCTTGAATTGAGGCGCTGTTCGCAGTCTCGCACTGGCCCTAGCAACATCTTCACCCCCCCTCCATCCTCCGTATATACACCCCCTTTGAGGTAGTATCGAAAGAGCGGACATGCAATCAGGTGCATACAGAAGACCTCGCATTTCAATGCCTGTCGAGAAGCTGCGCACCCATCAAGACACACCCCTGCCTTGAATAATAGATTCCAATACGTATCTACGTACCAAAGTATCATGTCTCGTTTCTTCTTCGCGCGGCTTGGTCCTGGTCTTGGTCCTGGTCCTTCAAGGATGGGGGCTCGTTCATATCGAACACGGCTTCGATGACTGAAAATGATCTTTCATCTATATATTAGTTCTCCTTCCTCCCCGTCTCCAAGGCTTGCCTGTCCCACCACATCGGCTTGACAAGTGCTAAGTTCTGACTCAAGTAATCATCACTTGCCTTAACTATATATCACTACCACGTTGTTCGCCGTCTCGTCTCAGCTTATATATCTTGCTAGTCCTTGCTTGTTCTCTTCGATAGTCGGCTAGGACAACCAAGTCAAGCAACACCAGAAGCAATGTACGCTACGCAGCACCAATATACATATCCTCCCGCCGCTCCGGCGCCGAGGCAATACTCGGCACACGGAACCAGCAGCGCGTTCTCTAGCTCCGCCAATCCTGATGAGGACTGGACCAAGATCTCAGACCTTGCCGAGCGCCGTAGGATACAGAACAGGATCGCCCAGCGAAACTACCGTATGTTTGCGCCGTAGCTCTAGCCTTACCAATTGGATTAGTTATCCTGACAGTTTCTATAGGAAAGAAGCTCAAGAGACGTCTGGAAGACCTCGAGCGACGTGCCGGAAGCTCCGATGACGCCGCCTCGCCCACTGGAAGCGAGAAGCAGTCTCAGCCTAGCACCCGAAACACCAAGAAGACCAGCTCTTCCAAGTCGCAAAAGTCCACAGCCGCCCCTCAGAAGCCCGTACAACCGCCTCAATTCACGCCGCCTATGAACCACGATGACGAGATCCTATTCAGCCATGCCACCTACGATGACCGGGAACGATCCCACACGCCGCCCTCGTATATGAACTACTCGGCCTACCCTCCGCCGGATGAGATGATTTTGCCTCCCTACGGCTCGGCGCAACCATACCACCCAATAACCACGGGTGAAGGCTACCCCAGCTACATGGCTTCTTCGGTACCTTGCACGCTACCGCCTATGACACACTTCAACGACGCTATCAAGAGGGAGACGTACCCGGAGGAGTCAATGTCTTCCTATATGAGCTATGGATTTGTGCCCGCGGTGGATGTTCACGGCCACAATTCGTACGACCACTCGAACCCTCATGTGAGTCATGTGCGCGCTTACTCCCGCCGAGAACCCCGTAGCTGATCGGTGTTGCTAGACTCCACCGCTTTCGCATTCGTATGACCATTCGGCGAATTGCTCTGAGTCTGGCTATGACTACCCCACGACGCCGCTTTCTATGCCCGGGTCTCCCGGCATAGGGCAACCACGATCATAGCCTAAGACCTACTCCACTACTTGTACAGAACGGAATGGTGTAATGCTTGGATGAAGGGAGAGGCCCGGGATTTCATGGAAGGGAATGGATTTATGTTTTTATCACGTTATGACGGCGCAAGATACCTTGCATCAGGGACGAGAAAAGGAATTATCGTCTTATGGTGCTATATGTTGTGATAGGTTTCAAGGATATCCGGGAATAAAGCGCTGGTGTTGATTTGACAGGGACTTTTTTCGAAACAACTTTTTAGAAGATGCATACAAGGGCTCTCCCGAGCTTGAGATGGGCGATATATTGTGGATACGATGGAGACTGGCAAGGCAATTGTCATTTTCACTTCAGGAATGGATATATTTCCGCTTCATCCGCATAGACACGCGTACATAACTACCTATGAGGAATGTTATATTTCAATGTTTCTACCTTGACTCTCTATTCAGTACCTTGTGTTAAGGTTATTCGCTGTGCCGCAATCAGGGTCCTCTTGTCTTTGCCGCCGGCAACGCATGGGACTTTTTCATGAGTTTCTGATATTACCAAGGCCACTAACAACTTGTCTCCGCAGTGATATAGCTGTGCCGCAGTTTAGAGGCTTGTTCGCAATAGAAGTTATGCTGCGCCCAAACAGCGTCGGGAAAAGGTTGGAACTAGGTTAAGATAGACTTTGATCATGCAGTTAATCAAGGGACTCAGGGACCAACCAACCGACTCATCCCAGCCCAATTGGGTATTTGTGGTTTAACATAGTTTACCGGACAAAACCTTAAGGTTGGATCTACTCAACGATAGAATCCTAATTACCCAGGTACCTAGGTAGATAGCATTGCATCTATTCGAAAGGCGGTGATCCATATGTGGAAACTCCGACTTTATACGAAGCGCAAATCCACTACCGGTTTACCATGTGCATTTTTATTTTTACTTTGTATGAGACCACATTACTCAATACCAATTTGCCGCTCGCGCGATTCGGATAGTGTATTCCTCCGGTGGTCGTGTAGAAGCCGGGGGGTGAAAGAAGGATGGTATTAACGTAGTATAGTCTTCGGAAGGATTTTTTTCGTCGGCTTCGCGAAGGGGGATTGGGGATTGCTTTCGAAGACGGATCGTTTCATATGCGAATCGGCTTTCGGGTTCGGCTTCGGTGGCATTGAATTATCACTACCCTTGTATGTTCAATTTCCAGTGGATATACCTAGGCATTTCGATCAGTAATAGCAATTGAACCAACAAACAGCTACCTTCATTTGATCGGACAGTCGGCACGTGTTCCAACCTACCTGCCGACCTACCCAATATAAATTGTTTGGTTGGAACGAGAGTGATCCGAGACATATCGGATAGTGATTGTTTATCTGTAATAAGAAGAGTATGTGATCATCGTCAATATACCTTGGCACGGATATGGTTACACGAACAATAGAGCGGGGAAACAAACGCCATCGGCACAGTGAAATCTCCAACGGAGTTTGAATGTTGTGAAAGTGAAGTAATCATGATGGAATATCCAAGGTAGCACAAATTGATGGAAGTCATGAGAATGGATAGGAGGTTGGCGACCAAGCAAGAAAAGAAAAAAGTAAATACTGCATAAAAGCGAGTCGATAAGTGGCTGATAATATTAATCAAGCCACAAGATGTGACAGGAGTATGATCTCACCCCGCAGTGATTGTGAAGTGATGTGGCTAAACCCTATCAGAAGTCGAGACCAAATTCCAAGGTTTAAAAGGGGACTAGTACCCTGCTCACTAGAACCATATTGGTATAAATTTATAGCTTTAATAGCTCTAATTGTAACTAAACCGCGACTAAAACTCCACCAACGTTGTAGATGGACTGCAAATCGTCACTTCGTCTTTTTCAACAACTCCAACACTACCCTAAATGGAGATTAGACTGGTTTCTTAGAGATGTGCACTGACCTCCCTTCTTTTCGAGCCTCATCGAAATCATGTGCAACTTTGTTTTGAATTCGTCCCTATCATCAAGGGATGGCAGTGAGTGGTTAACACTGCGACGGCATTTGCAACTCAGATCGTGGATCTAATAAGATCTACTTGGTATCTGGTTGAGTAAGATTGTTAGGATAACCTGTCATTAGATTTTCTCATGTGTTAAACCCATACATTTCTTATCTTTTTTAAAGTACCTAGTCATACAAAGGAGGCTCTCAACCCCTCCGCCGCTCACCGCTCACACTAAGCTCCGACTTTCCACAACAAACGGAAATAAGAAAAGCCTTGAACTATCACGTTACTAAGGCAATCATGCCCTTGGGCGAACCTAACTTCTACCTCTTCGGGGGATTAAAGTGAGTGCTTCACCCATTCAAAACCTTAACACCTCAGTTCATATGCCCATCCATTTTGTCCATACTAATTAGCCAATCACAGGCCTTGGATCGAGCAAGCTTGGATCGCCTCGGACGACAGAGTACGGGGTGGTAAAAGCCAGAGCTACTTAATATGCTCACCCGATTCTAGTACCGCTTCTTTCCGCGGTCATCTGGATATATCCGCTTTAGGTGGAGCCGGTTTTGCCTCTCAGCGAACCGTGGATCCGCAGTCATGGGACTTATTCGACTATCAAGGTATACGTCTTGGAGTGGGCGAAGGAGATGGCAAGAAATATACCATCGCCATTAAAGACGACAATCCTCCTAAGCGTGAAGATGGAAGAGAAGAGAGTACCGTTAGTTGGGAGTACGACTTCGTACCGACTGGCCATGAAGTCACGGCTTCCTGGGAAGACTTCAAGCCCATGTATCGCGGTCAACCAAAGCCGGACGCCGAGCCCTTGCGCCTCGATCATATCAAGAGAATAAGTATTATGATGCGAAGGTTTGTACCATGTGCCACCGAGGACTCTTCATGTCGTCGCAATGCTAATTCTTGACAGTTTCTTCGGTGAACAAGAAGGCCCTTTCAAACTGGAACTCAAGTATATTGCGGCTATCCAATTCAACAATCATGCGAACGAATAATGGGGGCCCATTTCTGGGAGTCGACTTTTGGCATAATGACGAATGCTTGAGGCGGAGTGAATCAACAATTCGGTTCACTGTACGACTGTCCCCCAATGGGGGTTTAATTAGTAAATAGCACCATAGAGGAATGGGGGTGAGAACTCAATGAAGCCAGGAGGAAGAGGGGGGCTAGAAATTAATACAAACGACTCCAAGCCGCCGCTTTCATCTGGCCAGCAAGGGAAATCTGAAAATTTAATGAACAGGGATACTTTTCGGGACTCAGTTGATCATCTCTTATTTCCATGTCTCCCATATTGGAACCTTAATTCACGAACTGCATATTGCTTGTTCCTAAACGCTCTGGGCGCCAACACGGGGTCGAATTATGTCTATTACTACCCACCTACTAAAAGAACAATTAGCCCAATTCGCGTTTTCGTCTTCCGAAGGATTACCATGCTGAACGATGTTGGTTTCGAAGCCTCACTAGCCACAGATTCAATCGAGCCAACCGCATTTTCCTCTTAGTCGATGCTATTAGCGGAATTGTACGACGCACATACTAACATTCGCCGCGTGGAAGCTGTACGTGATCGATTTGCATATTGACTGCATTTTTAGAGTAATAATATCATAACAGGGTCGCCTGATTTTTCTCTTATCCAAGCGGTCAAGTTGTTTAGCTGAGGCATATGCGTATCATTTTTGCATGTTTACTAAGGTGTATTCGTCAGCAAGTTAACAGCCTTATGAAGTGCTCCTGATTACGCCGATCTACCGGTTCTCCTTTCGGTTCATCTGCAGCTTCTAACCCCCAAGCATCCTAGAACATGTTCGGTAACCACCTACCTAGGTACTTACTCAAGGCATATCCCTTCAAATAGTTCCCATGTATATTCCCTACTGGAAACAAGGCCGAAATTTCCTTAAATCCGTGGCTAGGTAGTCAGTAAGCCATACCATATTCATCTTGGCAAGAGAATCTTTAGCAACCCATACCGTTGGAAAGTAGCACGGCATAGACGAGCTTACGACCTGCGTTTCTGACTTCGTCATATGACCCTGCAGGACATAAATGTCACCCTACCCGTTACATGTTGCTTGTATAGTTTGCCATTGTTGGTAGGTTATCTATCCATAGCAAAGGCGTTATGCTTGACCGAATCGTCGTCTGTTCTTTACTCCGTCCTTTTCGCTCCCAGGTCGTTATAATAGCCATACCATTATCCACTAGTAATTCTAGCTGTCCGAGCTTATGCAGGGACATCGGTACAAATCAACCGGATCCGCACCGTTGGTGTTGAGAAACTCCCCCAACACCCAGTCCAGAACTGTCATGCCGATTGGAAATAAGAGCTATCCGCCGATCATGTCTGGGTTGGGGCAAAGACAGGTTGGTGTACATACCGACATAGGTAGTATACATACAGTATTACATGCACGAAGGGTACCTACCCCAGCCAAGCTTCTTACCATGGTTTGGGTCCACAACGTAAACCGACAACTGGGTTTGTGGGTCGACCCGGTAGTGTTGGGATATATCCGTCGGGATAGATTTGTCGAGACGTGAGAGAGGGGTGAAAAGAAAGGAGGGGCGTCCTAGACATGACAGGCCACTCGACTACGAGATGGCGCGTTTTCCACTTCTTACTTACCAACCTACCGGCATTTTCGGTACGATATGTATATGTATATGTATATGTATAGATACTAAATGTAGGTACATACGAGCGAACGTGGCAGCCTTCCCGTCCTTCCACCCCGCTCGGGCTCTATGTTCCTGTGAGCGGCTGACGAGGGCGAGATCGCCTCTAGCTACCTAGGTACTCACTATTGGTTTTATGCACCAACTTCTTAGAAGCTACCCATATAATTGTGTATAACACGTATGATCGGTTTACTCTGCTTCCGGCGGCGCTGTCCGTAGCAGCTGGTATACACGAGACATGAATGAGCGTTAGCTTACCAACACGCATTAGGTACGTTTCGTCTCCAAGTCGTGGAGAAACGCACTTGGTCCTACGACCATCTAGCACGCGTATGGTCCGCCAATTACATGAGAGGGAGTAAAGAGCAAGCGGCTTATCACTTCGTAGGGCTAGAACCGCACGAGGGAAAGCTCGATTCCTACTTATTTTATCCAGGGTATCAATCCTTTGCTCCTCTAGCTTGGGAATAGCTCAGTCGTCTCGGCGTGCTTGATAATGGTTAATGTATGAGAGTATGTATTTGCGGACTAGTTCCCGCACGCCAAATTTACAAGGGCAAGGGAGCTTGGTTGCTGCTCCATATAAGATAGGTCAGTATTGCTACCAACTTCGTCCGTCGTAGAATGAGTGCTGAGTCAGACCATAGTAACCTACCTACCTACCCATGAACAACTCTTCCTCTCCACGGTAGAGTAGCGAGAACGACACGTTGTTTCCCCGTAACTTATGTATATAATATGCATGTAAGATTTGCGTTTGGCGTGGGTTCGTGGGGGGACGCACACACTTACTTGCCTACATCCACACACCGCGCGGTGTCTAACCCGAATCTAGCCCGAAGGAGAACATTCTGCTTTAGTCCTGTAAGATAGCCATCCTAGGCCACGAGGCGACCGTTCACGACGACCTACTCCATATTGGTATTGGGTGGGATGTCTACCTATATAGATTAATAACCTCGTGTGGGTAGATAGCGGTAGGTAGGGCCGAGAAGAAGTGCAGTTCGCTTTCGCTTACAAGCCGGGCGCCTTGCCTAGGCACCTATCTGAAATTGGATATTTTCATCATCGATTCGCCACACGCGGGGTCTTAAAAACGGCTGATATATACGCCTTCCAATACATTCGGGATCGTCCGGGTATTAGAGGGAGTTACGGTCGGGACATATCGAACTTGGTTCGGGAGAGATTGTATTATTAATACCAGATCGGGTAGCCTTGGTGGTTTAATCCAACAGATTGATCTGCTCAGCTCTTGTGCATTGTATTTAAGTCCTAGGCGTACATTTTCTATGGCAAAAGGCAATAATGAGGGTATTATATGTAGCTACATAGGTAGGTGTGGGTGGATAGGAGGAACGAGGAGATATTATAAAATTAGAGGCAAGCTGAAGCACAGGAAGCAAAACCACGAAAGGACGGTCTTCACCGCCGGTAGATTGGGAGGATGTAATCATACTTCAAATGGTATATCTGTGGTGACTCACTCGCCGCAGGCTTCTACTCTAAAAGTGCCACTAGGTATGGAGTGATGGGACAATGTTATGGTGTCTTAGGCCGAAATGGATAGCAATCTGAATATTTTCCCGCCTAGCTGTGATGACGCTTCCAATCTAGAAATCAGACCTATCCGTCTACTATGTAGTGAATCTAGTAAATGGATATTAAATCTGGGACGAGCTGTGACGGCCTTCTATGGGATATATAGAACTTACGGTTATTTTGGGGGATTGCAATGGTTTTAGGCAGATACACGAGGCTTCTAAGGAGGGGGAGAGAACGATCAACTACCTAGGTATGAAATCGTATCTTGGAGGAGCAGAACGAAATCAAGTGGGTGCGATGTACAAACACTTTACTAAATTGACTATCACTGGCATAGGTACCTAACATCACTGCCCATGATATCTAAAAAGTTCAAAGCCCCATCAGCGATTTCCTATCTTACCTACCCAAGGATTATAGCAACAGGCGGTGACATAAATCTCCAGTATTGAGTATCACATACAGTATAATAACAACGCGAGTTTACCGAGGACAGAATAGCAAGTGAAGCTAAATTTGATAGCTCTTATTATATACTATTGTTGTAACGTGCTGCGCCCCCGAAGATGGTGTGCCAGATGCATAAAGTAATGGTAAGCCCGTGAAGTCCTTTCGATCCCTAATCTCTATCAGATACCTCCCGAAAATAAAGCGCCTGCCAGCATGTGTCTCCCTAGCCCGTCCATTCTACCGTTGGAAAGCCACGAGTAGATTTCCTCCCGTTCCCAAAACGCCCTGATATTTTTTTGGAGGCTGGACCATGACCCTCATGTATATATTGTACGGATCTCGTACGTGATAAATGATTATGACAGCAGAATATGTGTGGCTAACTAGTGATGCAAGTGGTAATGGATGAATAACAAGCTACATGTGGATAATGGTCATCGACATCGTCAATACATAATGCCCGTTACTCGAAGCACGGGATGTTATCCCTGCTTGCCCAGATGTCGGGTTACGAAGGGAAGCTAAGCATATGGGAAACAAATAAGCATGTCTTTCTCATCACACATTAGCTGAGAAGACTAGCTTGAGAATAGAAAGCAAAGGCACCTAGTGATATAATCTAGGCAACCTCTAAGCTGGCTGGTTCGACCTTCTGCTTAGTAGTGACTTCCGACTCGGTCGAGATGTCATGTTCGTTTTCGTCTTCATTTTCGCTCACTGTAACACGACAGGTTAGTTATTGCGACCTTGAGAGGTGATATACACGCAACCAATACCAACTTCAACATTGCCTCGGTTGACTTATCGCAAGGGAAAGAAAGAAGTACTATGCTTGTTGCACATAAGGGGTAATTAGACGGGGATCGGAAGAGAACATTACTCACTACTACCATAACCAGTGTCAGTATCAAGACCCATTCCCACAACACCGCGGGTCACGGCCAAGCATCGCTCAACCATCTGGTGTCTAACTTCGGGTTCAAGTCCACAGTCTTTCCCGGTCCAGATTCGTAATGTGCCCGAAAGGCGCTCAAGAGTATCGGAACATGCCTCAGCAGCAAACTCGTGACTCGCAAGTCGGTCCATCAACTTGAAAGTTGCGGTATACCCAAGCAAGCCCATGTCGCTGATAGGGTGAATCTGATCGATGACAGCGTAGATATTGACAGGCTCCTCTGGCGGAGAAAATTTCTGGAGGTGTGCGATGGCCATAGCACAGAGCAGTGAAGTTCGCATTTCAGTAGTCATGATCAATGAAGGAGGAAGCTCCTTAAGAGGGGTGGACGACGCAGATGATGACGAGCGAGTTGGACTGCCTAAGGGGCTATTTGATGCGAGACTGGGCGTCACGGGACCAATAGCTTGTAATGCTGCCACGATGTTCAAGTTTCGTTTTTCCTCGAAGATCAGTGCGCGTGCTACAAGGGCACGGTTTTGAGCGATAGAGCCGATCGGTGCGGTCCTAATAGCCAGAGAGATGTCGTCTTCGATTTGCTGGACCATTTCTGGGTCGTCCTCCTCCTTAGCTAGTAGACTATTTGTAAGTGCACCTTGTAACGTCATATTTGATCGCCAAGCCGCGACCGCGTCCATTGGCGAGCGGATTGCTGGGTCATCCACGACAGTGTCCATACCATCACTAATTCCGATAGCATTGTAGACGGTTGGGCGATTCCAGGCAAGGTTATGTGCTCTCTGAACAATACTCGGGTTTAGGACCGTATCGCAATCTTGCTCGAGCAACGCAGCTAGATGGTCAGGTAGGTCATCGTCGGATTGCTCTTGGCCGTTACGGCGGAGTTGTGTCAGGAGTTTATGCATATGTTTCGCCTCATTCCACTTAGCTCTGGCTAGTTTCGATGCGAAAGTATTGAATACACCAAGCTGAATACCGGAAAGGCCGACTTCCCACAAGAGGACACGAATGTGAAGTGCCTTTAGCATGAGTCGAAGAGGAGTAGTTGGGAGAGTACCGGAAGCGAGTAAGGTTAACGTGAGTCGGCTCTTGCTTATCTCAACATCTCCTCCAGCTAGTTGGGCGTCTAGAGCGATTGCCCACGCCTTGACACGAGCAAGCTCTTGTTCTTCGGTAAGGCCCGTCAGCATTTGGTAGCCATGAATTCCAATCATATTCCTAAGGCTCAGTTTCAGTGTCTTAAGACCGAGAGCTGCAGCCTCGAGGAAGAAGTTATGACGGGGAACCCAGACGGTTTGGATAGCTGTAAGCCATGCCTGGCGGCGTACATGAATAGGCGATGCCAGTGATGGCACCGCCTTCAAGGACGCTTGCGCTTGTTGTTTGGAGCCATCCATGCCGGGAGTCTTGCGCTCCATGAGCGAAGGTATCACGGCCCACCAGATACAACAGAGTAGCAACACAACTCTGATCGAGTAGAGTACTTGTACGCCCTGGACATGATACCCCATGAAGTTGATGTCCAGTGAAGAGGTAAGTAGCTTAAGAAGCTGTATGGGTAATGCGAAGAGACCACGACCCTCAGGTGTATCGTTGCTCTGCTCATTCTCCCGGACTGCTTCTAGAAGCATCAGCCCAGCCAAGGAACCGACCATCAATTTGCCGAAGTAGGGGCCGGCATTCTGCCATCCTCTCGCCTGCATATGTTGCTGCTGCTGTTGCTGGATCTGCTGTTGACGCATGAGGGCAGGGTTGCCTCTATATGGCGCCGGTGGTACCGGATACGGTTGGTTGGCAGCTAATTGGGCAGCGATGATACGTTTCATATCATCCGGTACTTGGATCATGCCTTGCGGATCGGCCCGACCTGGTGTGCCCATGGCCGAGTTCGCATACCCATTCGGTTCGTGCGCGTATTGTATAGGTGTAGAGGGGGTTCCTTGTTGTAGAGGGCTGACCGCGCCATTCATCGCGCCCGCCATGAACAGTTTCTCAAAGGCCGCTATTCGTTGTTGCATTTGCGTGTTCTCATCGACAAGTCGTAAATTTCTCTTCTCTAAATGTCGAATGTACTCAGTAGCCTTGCTTAGAACCTTTTAAAAGTATTAGCCACGATGACCACATTCTAGATCCATGTTAAAAAAGACGAACCGTCGCTTTATTTAGCTTGTGCGCAGGCGTTAAGCCATGCAATTCTTCCCTATCTTCTGTGGTATCTTCTCCCCTTGCGCTCTTGGACATAATTCGTAGACTTGGCACACTATCTCGTAAAGCTGCTATCTTATCGTTGAGATTAGTGCGATATCTCTTTTCGATCATATTATGCGCCGTCTTTTTCACCGGTTGGTGGCCATCGAGATCGTCGTCATCGTCATCATCAACGTCGATTGATGATTTTCGCTTGCGACTATTTGGTTTGGATGATAGGCCCAGATCTTCGGGCGACGAGATGGAGGAAGATTTGTATACGGGGCCGGCTGAATCGGGACTCGCTTCGCTTTTGGGTGAACGATAGTGAAGCTGAGCTGGCATAGCAATGCTTTGCAATTTTTGGCGCTGCTCTTCGGTGAGCGCCCTAGAACCTACGCCATTTGGTCGAACTTGGAGCGTCGTGGTAGCTATTGATGGTCCTATTGGGCCTGCTGTTACGAGTGGATTCGACGGGCCGTTGCTCATGGAGGATGGGGCCACCGCAGCAGGCTGTTGCTGCGGCGCCGTCGGCTGTGGCTGTTGTTGTTGCGACGAGAGGCCATTGTCCAATTCGGGCTGCTGGGCTAGATTCCAATCGTCTTGGTAGAATGCATTAGTGTCGTAAGTGTCGTAAGGAGGAGTGTCCTGAAAGTTCCAATTGGATTCGGGGTAAAATTGTTGGCTGGCGGCGCCGGAGTCGGTCAGGGTTGGGTCGCCGTTATTCGGGTTATTGTTGTTGTTGTTACTATCTTGGTAATAGGCGCCGTTGGAATCGTCAAGACCAAAGAGGTCGGAAGGGTCTTGCTGGTCTGTCATGATGGTGTCACTGATGCTGGTACGATCATGAGATGCAAATATGGTTCGACATCAGCAGGCACCACAAGCAAGTTCCTTCAGCCGCTCTCGTCCAGGTCAAGACAAGCGAAAGGAGGGGGTTTGCATAAGGCGGGAACAGGCGGGAACGACCGGGGGGGCCTTTTTTCTGCGTTGCTTATGACCTGATCGTACGGCCTGGAGTAGTATAGTGCCAGTATAGTATCTATGGATGAATGCGAAATGGAACGGGACGGATTTGGTTGGCTGGATTGTTTACTTGATTAGGTTGGGGGCTCAGTCAGTCGATTTTCGTTTCGAGGGTATATAAGTCTGGATGGGGAAGGCGATAAAATTGTTTAGAAATTTGAAATTCGAAGAAGACGAAGACGAAGAATAGCAAGGTATCGATTGTTGTTCGGGTTTGAAACGGGACGAGCAAGATTGGGAAATGGGAATTGACGAAAAAGCTTGCTATGCGACGCCAAGACCCCCGTTAGAGGAAAAAGAGGAAAAGTTAAAAACAAGACTAATAGATAGGTACTTTATTAGGGAGAACGGAGGAAGGAAAGAGAGAGAAAGAGAGGGGGCATAGGTGTATAGGTAGTAGTAGTATGTAACTAAAAAGACTAAAAAGTTGTAGACGTCAATTTCGCTACCACCAATAGCCCTTTCCCTTCAATCCGTATGTCACTAGGTACCCTAGGTAGACTAGCAGACTAAATGGACTAGTAAACTGGTAAACTTTCGACCGTGTCTTGTCTTTTCTTGTGCTTCCCGCATTTCGCCCTTCTTTTTTCAAAACTAACTCAAGTCAAGAGAGAAATAAGACAAAAAAAAAAGCAACACACCTGCAGTTTCTGTGGGCGCCTCTATTTTTTTTTTTCCTGTCGCACGTACACGGCAAGATTAGTTTGAGATTTCCTGTCCAAGATCTTGGGATCCGATAGGCGGGGAACGTCAACGAAGCGCGAGAAAAATAACAAGTCCAATTGCGAGGATGAAAAAACGGGGGATTTTCTTTGATGGCTTGGAAGAATCATACGATATACATTTTCCTGGATGGGCGGAAAGAATAGTGGGTAATCGATCGGGGCTTAATCGTTTAATCGAAGACGCTCGGATCATTTTATGATCCCTTCCAACCAAAGATTCATCCTCGGCTTTCCCGTCTAGGCCCTTCTATTGGTGGGGTTGAACGGATCCACGTGCTACTAGCCACTGATAAGTACCTGTTCCAGCCACTTTTCCCAGGGGACAGGGAGCAAGGAACTAGGTAAACTCTGAACACTGGAAACTGGGCAAGGATGATGTATCCGGATTCGACTCTACATACATGCACGTACTTATAATGTGTACAACCCCAAAGTACCTCCTTAATTGAAAAGTCTAGTATAGAGTACTTGGTGATACCCTCGTCTCAGCATAATCGACGGGTGGCTGCTTCATAGCACTATATAGATATTGACTACATTGATTAATAGTCCGAGGGTTTGGTACAACTACAAATCAAGTTCTTCCCCACCCCCTTTTTTACACTATTACCTACCTAGGCAGTTAGTCTCTTTACTCTGCTTTATCCAGCAACAGCCGCCCCAAATTTCACGAGGAATCAGTCGTCATAGTCAAAGGACGCTTTGGATCCGTTATCCAGATTTACCAGGTTTGGGCACCTATCCGAGGTTCCTCCCTTGGCCAATCGCAGCCGAAGTCGGTCTTATAAGTGAGTTCATCCAGTTCACTTAGTTCTTAGTTTGGTCTACAATGGTTAGGGATGGTAAGAACAGTAAATCCTTCGCTCATGTGCCAAAGTCAAATACGATAGCTTGACTCGCCGCGTGTACATGTCAACTTGAATAGTATTAGGTAATAATAAAGTGTGATACGAAGATAGTATATGGTAGTAAGGGGCATAAGTCATGTCACAACCTAGATGACGTAGGTACTTAGTCATATCGATACCAAATAGTTAAGGGGTTGATCATTAGTTGAAATATGGAACTGAAGACATTCCAATGTAAATTAACTCCTCCAAGAAGTTTTTAAAAGTGGTATAAATAGAATTATAAACAAGCCAAAGAAGCGTTAAGACCTGAAGCCAAAGAATATTTCTCTTTACGTCAATTCGTCATCGGATTTTGAAAACACATGAAACCCGTGTAAGACGCCAGCATAACAGATTCGTACTGTTCATGAGCCAGCCCATTGAGAATTCTTTCCTCGTTACACCCATAAGAAACAACACGTTTACCATACTTCATCATTACCCTTAACCATTTCCATCGTTGGTGTTTTGGGTTGTAATTGCTTCATCCTCTTTCGGTCCGCCTTAGTTACCAACGAAGGCGTGATAGGAACCACAGGTGAGAATGGCTGGTACGGTGAGTAAGGCACTGGAGCACCTGTCCAGGGTGTCCGAAGTCCGGAAGGCGACAAAGGCATTGTTCTTTCAAAAGTAGTTTGCTTAGTTGTCTGTGCCGATGGCGAGCTAAGAGCGGGCTCATAAGCTCGTAACGGAAGAGCACCACCAGTTCGAACTGCCGATGGCGCGTTTGGCCGTGAGAATGATTGTTCCCTGGGTGAAGTTGGGAATGTAGCACCTGGCTTCGGGGACGACGGTAAAGAAGGGAAGCGGTTCACACCCGGCTTTGGCGATGATGGTAGGCCGACAAGGGGAGCAGTGGACCTTTCTGAAACGGCCGAGACGGGGTCGGGTTCCGTGTACTGCGAACTGCCGCGCATATTACCCAACCGTTCATCAATGCTCTGTGTGCTTTCTGGTGAAATGTCAGGCGGAGTGATCGGAGCTACAGATCCGTTTGATCCATGCTGCCTGCTAGGTCTTGAATATGGTGCCTGGTCTGTCGGAATCGGAGGCGGGGGTTTGTAGTGACGAGGGGTCATTGCGCTCATTTCCTCCTCGTCATGGCGTGGGAACCCAGCTGACATGGGTGTCATAATCGGAGACGAAATACTAATGCCCTTGACATTCTTCTTTCGAGGGGATTTGAAAGCGGACAATATAGAAGACGCTCGGGATTGAGGTTTCTCTGCGAGATCGAGATTTGCAGGCTTGTTTTTGTTCCTCTTCAATATGCTTTGTTTTTGAGGTTGTTGCGATATTGGTACGGGTGGTTGATCTAAAGTGACACCTGCCTCCTTCGCAGCCTCTTGCTCTAGTACGAGCTTGTACATCTCTTCCAATTGTTGTTGCGCCATCTCGCGATCAGCTGCAACGACTCTCGGGTCTACCAAGGGATTGACACCAAGAGTACTAGTGGAATGAAGGGACGGAACAATGTAAGGGCTTGTCGGACTTGTTGGCCCGGTCGCACTTAAAGGTGTTGGAGGTGTCGGATACGAGAAGTTTTTGATAGGTGATTTAGGTGGATCAAGGCCGTATTGAGGATTCTGGTTTGGAGCACCTGCGAGTACGGGAGGCGGGAAAGCGAATTGATATGGAAACGGGCCTTCTAGGTCTTCGTCTCCTGCTGTGAGATGTTCGCGGCGTTTCTTTGCTAAGATGAGGAGAACGGCAGCAACTACAACGAGCGAAAGGGCGTAAGATCCCACTATACCACCAACTTGGGCGGGGAGGAAGGCTGTATTGCGGAGGGCTCCAGCGGAGAGCGGTGGACCGTCTTCAGGGGATGATGCCGGGTCAAAGTAGTTGCTTTGGAGATCTTGTATTACAGAAGCAGAACAGAAAGGAGTGAAAGTTGAAGAAAGCAAAATTAGCACAAACTGAAGCGAGGAGAAGGGCTTGCTATAAAGCGCCAATTGCATTGTGTGTGACCCAGATCTTCATCAAAAATACTATATCCCGACTCCTTTAGTTAGAGCCTCCTGAAGCGGATCAAGTCGAAACACATTCTGATGGAAATCCTACAAGGTCAGACGCAGAGTCGGGAGGACAAAGGGTATATAGCGGCTGGTGATGTTCGGCAGTGTGTCGAGGTGGGCCGGAATCCGCGATGCCACCATGAGGATACAGGCGCTTTGGGTGTGAACTGGCCTCTGACTCGTCGGCCCCCCGCTAGTTACTTGGCCCCATGCATGATGGCCCCAAGCGAAAGCGCCCAGTGAGGGTGGTAGATTGCCATTTTCATATTTGCAAAAGGCAGTGGTCTATCCCGTTCTTCCCGTTCTGGTTGGATGGGGGATATCACAGAGACAGGGACTTAAGCGCCGATGAGTTGGGCTGTTGAGCTGATTGGCCGTAAGATTCGCAAATTCCCACAACATCACTAACCCCGCTGCACCTATCCCCCTGCGCCTCTGCAGGTCACCCTGCTTTTATGGCCACCGATTGGTTGAAGACGACTCTACCGACATAGGCGTGGATGTTATGAGGGTTGATCCCGACTATGACAATCGCATCACACACACAAGTTGGCACTAACGAATAAGATAATAAGATAGTGGAATTTCGTCCTGACCTAGTCTTAAAAGATGTTAATAAAAAGGTGTTGGCCATCCCCTTTTTGATCTTATCACAACCTTCAACATATCAGATCTTACGGATTTTATTCCCTTTCGGATGTGACTTCATGGAGATATGTGAAGTGACCAGCGGAGACGGCACTAACATGACGTTTTTAGTAAGAGACGTAAGATTGATATTCGAAGGTGTGCTACACACACGCGATGCATAAGTGTTTCTTAAGATCGACCGGTATTATTGGGTGATAACGGAAACAAAGCGTGCCTCCTGGGCCTCACCCTTGACGGATCAGCGATGTAAGGGAGAAATCAATTGATCGTGGGGCTTTTTCGCATTGAACAAGTAGTTCATGCAACTTGAAGCCGGTTCCTCTAAATTTTCCAAATTTGGAACATTTTCAGACGAACTATATTTATCAATATTCGAAACGACAGCAATTTTCATGATGGATTTGATAGGAGGTATGTAAATAGAAAAATGCACACGTTGTATATAGCATAAAATAAACTTATCTACCCGTTTTTTTTTGTTTTTTGTTTTTTTTTTTTAGTAGGTAAACTCAGTGCTTTAAGTCTATTCGATTGAATTCATGCAAGCAAAACTCAAAAATCTGATGAAGGTGTGCTCGGTTAGGTACATGTACCTTATGTGCTTGGGTACTGCAGACCCACCAGATGCATTCATCCGACATGGCGCTCTGCAGGTGTCAAGGGTCGGACCTTAAACTCCCCGGTCTAAATACTTAGTACCTGGCACTGTCGCGTCTTCCTCTTCATTCAATGTTCACACGCGTCTCATCACAGATACACAGACCTAAACGTTACTATTACCTACCTAGGTAAGGTTGGTAGTTATAGTGGTCTAGGCATGGGGAAAACTTATTACAATTCCCTCATGATTGTACATTATTCTACGTTACCGACTGGATGAGTGAGAGACCCTTCCGCCATGTCAGGTTCCAATGGCGATGACTTATTTAAATCGCTTAATTCAGCACAGTCTCGTGCCGTTAGCTCCCGCGCGTCAACCGTTGCTATCCTAGCAGGACCAGGAAGCGGTAAGACTCATACTCTCACATCTCGAGTTGTTTGGCTTATCGACCATGTCGGAATCCGACCTTGCGATGTCATTGTCGCAACCTTCACCGTCAAAGCATCCAATGAGATGAAATTGCGTATTGGTCAGGCACTCGGTGATGGACGCGAAAAGAAAATTATATTGGGTACATTCCACAGCATTGCTCGCAAATACCTAGCTATATATGGAAAGCGCATTGGGCTGGATCCCAAGTTTGGCATCGCAGACGACTCCGATTCGAGGGCGGTGATAAAGCGTATTTGCAAGAGACTAGACAGTCCTATCGAGCCGGCTGTGGCTCGTTCTTGGATCAGCAAGCGTAAAGCGAAAGGTACTTCCGATGAGCAGAACATCAAGGCCAAAAACGGCAAAAGCATCGAGTCCAAGTCACTGGAACAATGTTTCGAGGAATACCAAGCTTACCTCGAGCGATCGAATCTGCTAGACTATGATGATCTTCTTATTCGCTGCGTCGAACTCCTTCGTCAATGGCCTGACTGTGTTAAGAACATCCAGACGGTATTGATCGACGAGTATCAAGATACAAACGGGGTTCAGTACGATCTGATGAAGCTTTTCGCACAAAAAAACCGCCAGATAACAATCGTTGGAGACCCGGATCAGAGTATATATGGTTGGCGATCGGCAGAAATAAGAAATCTCCATCGCCTACTACGTGACTTTCCCGGTACGGACGAGATATCTCTCGAGGAAAACTATAGATCATCAAGTTCTATTCTGGACGTCTCTTTGCAAGTCATTCAACAGGATCAAGAAAGATACAAGAAGATTCTTTTACCGGTGCACGCCAAAGGTACTCGACCAGTTCTTCGCATGTTGAAGAATTCCATGACTGAGGCGGATTGGATTGTTTCTGAGATCAAGCGAATCAAAATGATGGCTGGGGATATGATCAAGTCTGATGATATCGCGATATTGCTTCGTTCTGCTTCTCTATCGAGGCATATTGAATCCGCATTGGGCAGAGAGGGTATAGCATATAGGATGGTTGGTATGTAGTATATCCAGCGGCCATGTTTCTCCTGTTATTTTACTAATGTCAATTCTTAGGTGGTTTTAAATTCTATGAACGAGTTGAAATCAAGACCATATTGGATTACTTACGAGTGATCCACCAACCCGATAACAATGATGCTCTCGCGCGTATCATGAACGTTCCAAAGCGAGGCATTGGCGACGTAACGGCTAGATCTCTCTTAGAAGAAGCTGAGCGCAGCTCTATGAGCCTTTGGGAACTACTCGGCAAGCACTGTCGTGGAGAACGGAAAGCGAAGACGACTATTAGACAACCAGCCGAACAGAAGATCAGTGGGGGACTGATCAAATTGATCACGAATCTACAAAACCAACTACGACCAAAAGAAGGGACACCCGTTAACTTGGTTGACATTATCAACCAATTACTCAAAGACTTACAATTTGAAAAACATCTTGAGGAGACGCACGGTCCTGAGTATGAGTTACGATGGGCGAATGTCCAGGAATTCGTGAATCTCGCCGCTGAGTTCATGGATCAGGATAAACCGGAAGAAGATATGCTTCCAATACTTGAAGATACCCAGCAATCAATAGACGACGATGTGCTGGCACGATTCCTAGCGAATGTTTCGCTGGCATCTGATAAACAGGCCAATGATAAGGACAAGGAACAAAAGCCTCAAGTCACAGTCTCCACGATACACGCAGCGAAGGGACTAGAATGGCCTGTGGTGTTTGTTCCAGCCGTTTATAAGGGATCGATACCGCATATACGATCCGACGATCAAAATGAGGAACGACGCCTCCTGTACGTAGCGATGACTCGAGCTCAAGCTTTGCTTTATCTAAGCTGCCCCCGCTATACCATCAGTGGTAGTAAAGAAGCTACCCAGATTTCGCCTTTCGTTGAGAACCTCTCATCATCTACGTTTCTCAAGAAAGGGCCGTCTCTAGATCGGTTGGTCATGTCGGAAATAGCCCGAATATTACGGAGAGACTTGCCAGCGGAGAGTGTTATATATAAGAACATTCCGATGATGACGGCCATTGAGGATAATATTTTCCCGATCGACCCGAACCAAGCGCAAGAAATAACTCCACTTCCCGTACCTACAGGCAATCACGGGTTTAATCAGCGTCCTGGTCAACATAAGCGACAAAAAATAAGTCATACTGAGGTTGCAGACGAATCAGTTGAGGGCTGGGTGGCCCCTTACGCTACAACAATGCAGAAGTCCGATTCTTTTACAGTGCCGCAACCACCGCCGCAATTGGGATTCACAACAGCGGGTGCTCATTTTGCGAGTGTGACTGCAGCTGATGCAGCAAAGCCTACCGCAAAGTCCGCTCAGGGGGCAGCCACGAAAAAGCCCCCAATGTCTCGGGCCCCTTCGCAGAGGAGTCTAATTGGCTATGGATATGGTATCACAAACCACGACAAATCAAAACAGGTCGATGACATAGCGCCGATCGCATCTTCCAAGTCGAATCAGATCATGAACCGCGCCCCTCGCCCCTACCAGGTACCACGAGGTCATCATAAGCAGCAAATAGGATCTCAGCACTTCCCTCCATCAATCCAGGGGCTTTCAAGAGCACAGCAGAAACCTGCTATCGAGCCTAATCTAGCAGCCCACAAGTTCGGTTCCGCGAAATTTTCGAGTCGGCCGACAACTAATCAAAGTACAACAGCCCCTGCAGCGGCTGAAAACCCACCCTCGAAGCCGAAGCAATACGCTTGTTTTTCAAGCTCGCCGACCAAGCCCCAGCCAGCTGAAGAACAGGGTAACGCGGAAAAGGAAAACGTGGTGCCGGAGGAAGAAGTAACGCGTCCAGCTAAGAGCTTTCACGCGACAACGGTAAACCGCGGTCCTCAAACTGGCTGGAGGGGAGGCGGTGGTATCCAGAGGCCGACGCCGCTGGGACGGAGTGGGATTACTCCTATGGATCGCCTGAAAAAGCCATTTAAATTGACCGTTAAGCGGCCACCATGACGTATACATGTACCTAGGTACATTCACACAACATTATATAGACATATAAACACTGCAAAAGCGAATATAGAGATATAACTCTATCAACGGAGGCTGCTCTACAAAGAGAGCATTATGATTCAATGTCTAGCAGAAAGTCTTATACCAATATCAAGCCCTCGTAGTTCTATCAAGCAAATAAACCCAATCTTGAGGACATTTTGCCTATGCTAATATGATTACACCTAACTCCGATCGATGATGACCTTTAAGTACAATTTTGTCTGAGTCTATAATCATGAACCATTTCTTAATCTATTCCACCATGTCGTTCTTGAGACTTAGCGGGTGAACACTTTTGTTCCGAATTTCCAGACCTCATCCACGACGAGGTCAACACCATCTGGTCTAGGGCTCTCAGACAGGACCACAAGGTCGGCATCGGCACCGTCATCAAGACAGCCCTTGATGCCCTGTAGCCCTAACATAGCAGCTGGCGTTGACGTAACGGCCTTCAGTGCAGCCGGAATGCCAGCACCGGACCAGCTGAGGAAGTTGGATACGCATTCAATGAGCGTGATCGAGCTGGTATCTCAGTTAGCAATGTGTCCATGAGTGCGAAATTTTAAAGTTATTTCTTACCTTCCAGCAATTCGGTCCGTGCCCTCTAAGATCAATTTGTTGCCCTTCTTTAAGATATGACTTGCAGTCTCACCGTTCGTCCACAGGTAGGCACCATCCGGCAGCCCCACCAAGTGCATAGAATCCGTAACGAGGATGAAACCGTCGGGATGAGCGTTGAAGGCAATTTTGATCGTTGTGGGATGCAAATGCTCTCCATCGGCGATGATTCCGAAGTATGGGCGAGGTAAACTCTCCGCTAGACCCAAGACACCGAAGATGCCGGGGTTTCGGTGGTGCAAAGGTCGCATAGCATTGAAAAGGTGAGTAATCATCGTTGCACCTGCACCAACAGCGGCAGACGCCTCTTCGTATGTAGCCTCGGAGTGTCCGATTGAATAAATAATGCCCCGGCTTGTGAGCTCGGGAATGAGCTTGGTCATTTGCCCTCGTTCCGGTGCAGCGGTAATCATCTTGATTGGTGTAGGGCGGAATTCGTCCTCAGCATCGAGGTTTTCGGCACCATAGCATTCCTCCAAGTCAGCGAATGTCTCGGCTTGCCGCAACACATCCACATTGTGAACACCATTCTTAGTTGGGCTTAAGAATGGCCCCTCACAATGTGCACCTAGGGATTCTGCTCCATCTTCCGCAATCTGTATGTATCCGGAGGGTGCGAGATGTGGTAGTGCTCGCTTGTAGAGCTCGCTCCGTTGGCTTGTAATAGTGGGGACGTACGACGTAACGCCGGTCTTCACCAGTTGCTTGTTTAACTCCTTCACCTTCTTAGCGTATACAGCGGGTTCGAGAAGAGTCGAGAAATTGAAACCGAAAGCACCGTTTAATTGACATTCGATGAGACCCGGGGAGAGGATACGACCGCCAAGATTAATAACCTCGTCAGGAAGGATGAAATCATCATAGAAAGCAGCCTGGCTTCTAATGACTTTTCCGGTAACAGAATTGACCCAAAGGTCTTCCTCAACTAACTTATCACCCTTCAAGAGACGGCAATTGGTAAACTTGGTGATACCATTTCGACCGTCCCTTGGTGTTGACTTAGGCGACGAGGGTAGAGAGTGAGGCATGATGGGAGACGGGTTGAAAAGTTGAAAGAATTGTAAAAAATGGGATTGTATGTTACTTAGATAGCTTGGTATGTTCTTTGTTATGTTTCGTCAAGTAGTAGGACAATTGCCCCTTTAGCGAGTATTAGGGCCTCCATGAACGGGACAAAGCTGGAAACGGGAAATGGCTCATGGACGTATTTATTTGATTTCATGATATCACAACGCAGGGCGGCTTACGCCGAGCCGTGGCCGATACTGGGCCCCGGATACTCGGCGTGCCAGATAGGGGAACTACTGGGGACAACTAGGAAGGCCAGAACGGGTGTCACTAACACTGACAGGGCCGATGACAATGTGAATCTCTGATGCTCTGATACTGCTTGGGGGGGCAGCAGTGGGGCCAGTCGGACGTCAGTCTTGCGATGGTGACAGTCAAACCCAGTTTTGTGAATGGACTGATGCCAATATGCATTACCTATAGGTACCAATAGGAGGAACATGTGACTGAAGAGAGTGGTCAGCAAGCTCTAGGCGATTCTAGGCCGAGAGGTTGGTTACTAAGAGTGTGGCAACCCCGTTGATGAGACCCTCATCGGTGTCGGATACGCAGATACGCTGGTATCATTTGTGGGATTGCGGCGTCTATCGTCGGGCCTATGGTTGGAATTTGGGGTTCTTTGTTATGATGTGCAATTAGATCAGCCTTGCCGTGTGACAATCCATTACAAAAGACAAGGAAAAAATTGGATCGTGAAGGATGGTGGAACAACTAAGGGAGGATTTCTTGTAAGTGGTAGTCTAGACATAGTAACGTAACGTTGCGAAGTGCGAAGTTGTTAGTGAGAAGCTTTTTTGGAGGGCTCTGGAAGTTTGGAGGGGTAGAAGAAAGAAAAGAGAGAGACTCCGATAAAATCATATTCGTCAGTGAAGAGCTAAGAGGTTAAACGGGGAGGTACACGCTACAACTATAATCAAAAAAGGTATAGTGTAGTTTTTCCCTTAAAGACGATCCTCCCCGGATATCTTTTTCGGAAGGAGGTACCTGTTTCAAATTAGAGCCCACCGAGTTAGAATTCAGCGGACAATTTAGACAATTTACGTCTTAATTCCACTATCGATAGCCGAAGCGGCAGCGGCTTACCTAAATGCATGCATCTCTGGGGGAGCCATTGCTACCCTACTAGCCTACCGTTTACCAGCCTGCTGTAACTTACGACCCCTAGGGCCCTAGCCACCTACCTAAGCTATTCCACTTAGCACTCCCGAATCGTTTACTCCAAGCTGATGGAATCTGTAATTTACCGCCATCAACTCTTTTTTCCCTTATTCCCATCCAGGCACACGAACACCGCAACACAATCGGGCTTTTTCTCCGAGACATACATACTCTATTTCACACCATTGGTAGTTACTTCATGGAATCCTAGCCTTACTTAGTTGCTCACGCTCTTTTTTGTTATTGCTGGATGGAGATTGATATCCCACGCTTATCTCTCTTCTCCGTACTCTCACTTTTTGACCAGGAACCCTTTAGCTAGAATAACGCCGAGTTGCAACGCTACACATCCAAAATGACCAAGTCAGACGGCGAGCTTGACCCACTATGGCAAAATCTCGATTGGTACGGTGTGCCATGTTTATATGATCCCCCTCTCATTAAGGGTCTTAAGAGCTTCATGGCCAAGCTAGATCGCTAAAGCATGTCTTTGTTACTAATTCTAGACCAATAGGGCGATTGGCCAGATGTTGATTATGGGATGGGATGGAACAGAAGTAACGCCTCAGATCAGAAACCTCATCGTGAACCATCATTTGGGCTCAATCATATTAACAGCTAAGAACCTAAAATGTACACGTGCCTTTGATCGCCATATCTCATATTTATCGTGTCACATGTCGCCGAAATATACTGACAATATATATATGATATGTAGCTGCTGAGCAGACCGCCTCTTTAGTCCAAGAACTTCAAACCATAGCTCACCAAGCAGGGCACCCTCAACCATTATTAATAGCCGTTGATCAGGAAAATGGAGGGGTTAACAGTCTGTTCGATGAAGACTATATCTGCCAATACCCAAGTGCTATGGGTGTTGCTGCTACGGGAAGCACAGAAATAGCATACAGCGTAGCAAAGGCTACAGCCACCGAAATATCAGCTGTTGGGGTCAACCTCATTCTTGGCCCGGTATTAGATGTATTAACTAATGCTCGACATCAACCTCTCGGCGTTCGAGCTACTGGAGATGATCCTCAAGAAGCATCGTTATATTGCATCGCCGCGATCAACGGATTCAAGGATGCCGGCGTGGCTACTTGCGGTAAGCATTTTCCTTCTTATGGGAATATTGATTTCCTCGGCTCTAGCTTAGACATGCCTATTATCACGCAAACGCTAGAAGAACTAAGTCTCAGTGCTCTTGTGCCTTTTCGAAATGCGATAAGCGCCGGGCGCCTCGACGCCATGTTTGTCGGAGGTTGCGGAATCCAAAGTGCCGGAATGAATGTCATGCACGCTTGTCTTTCAGATCAGGTTGTGGACGACCTCCTACGAAACGAACTTGGGTTCAAAGGCGTTGCCATCTCGGAATGCCTCGAAATGCAATCCTTAATACAAGAGTATGGCGTTAAAGGAGGAACAGTTATGGCCGTCGAAGCAGGCAATGATCTAGTACTTCTATGTCGGGCGCATGACGTGCAGTTGGAGGCCATCGCTGGGCTAAAGCTAGGTGTCGAGAATGGTATCATTTCGAAGCAACGCATCTACACCTCTCTAAACCGAGTGTTGAAGATGAAGAACGCGTGTACGTCTTGGCAGAAAGCCTTGAATCCACCTGGCTTACAGTTACTCACTAAATTACATCCCACACACCTTGCGCTCTCCCGGAAAGCCTACGATCAATCGATTACGGTGGTTCGAGATAAGGACAATCTGCTTCCTCTTTCCCAGAGCTTACTTCAAGAAGAAGAATTGTTGCTTTTGACACCGCTGGTCAAACCATTACCAGCTTCAGCTGCTACTAAGGGCATGCTAGAAAAAGGCAACAAGGCTCCGTCCTTGCACGAGAAATGGATTCACCAGGAACGCGGGGCCATCATGAGTGGAGAAGGCGTCTTCCGAGAATTGGGTCGATCAATAGCTCGAATACGTAACGGTAAACTTCTTCATACATCATATACAGCCAATGGGCTCAGGCCAGGTAAGAAGAATCCTAATTTCGTTTTGATAATAATACTAATAATATCTAGTGCATGAGAATTTAATCAACAGGGCGTCTGCAATTATTATAGTAACTGCCGATGCTAATCGGAATATGTACCAAACCGGATTTACGAAACATGTAGCGATGATGTGCCACATGCTGCGTGGAACGGGCCAAAGGAAATCTCTTATTGTGGTCGCAGTCAGCTCCCCATACGATTTTGCGATGGACAAATCCATTGGAACATATGTCTGCACATTTGATTTCACCGAGACGGCTATGGCTTCTCTAGTCCGTGCTTTATACGGCGAGATAACACCCCAGGGATCGATGCCGGGTACTATGAGGAAGAGCAAAAAGGTATCTAAAACGCGGCAACAGTGGCTTGTCGAAAACTATGATCGCGACAGAGATTCATCCGCCCTTGCGGAGCTATTGAGAACGATGGCCCGCTCTAGCACACCAAGTTTTCCGTACCTTACAACAGGGCCCCACTCATTTGAGCTGTTCAATCCCCATGTTGAAGAAGCGCATTTCGTCGTTCGGAATAGCAGTACGAAAACGTTATATGGCTTCGTGGCCACGTACTTCACGAAAGGTGTCGGCGCTATTGGCGCGATCTTTGTCGACCCAGCGAAACGAAACGTATCGATTGGAAGGTCGCTACATCGTCGTGCGATTCGAGCGCTACTGCAGAAGCAAGGGATTAAAACCGTTCAGTTAGGTGTTACATTCCCGGGGGTCTTTCCGGGGGTGCCCTTTGATGAAAGTGGGAGCATTAAGAGCTGGTTTAGCAATGTTGGATGGGACACACAGTTTCCGAAGCGACTAACGAATATGGCCATCGACGATCTCGGGGCCTGGACGGCACCCGAGGGTCTTCTTCAGAGCATACAGCGAGCGAGTATTAGTTTTGACCTGATACACGGACTTGACAACGCGGAATCGGTATTGAATCACGTAGCAACACACGCAGGACCCGAAGTTGTGGAACTTTATCGTTTCGCACTACAAGAAACAAATACAAGCGGAGTGGTGCGAGCCAAGAATTCGGTAGATAATCTACTAGGAACGGTGATTATCTGCACAGCCGCGAGCCGCCTATCAATATACATGCCTCCGCTTCATTCCGTTGGTGGCGAAGACATCGGCGGAATCATTGCCCCGATCGTGCCCTCAACATCCCAATCAAGATTGATCCTGCAGGGACTGGCGTTTATGGGCGTGAGGCAAAATAAGGCGCACAAATCGGCAAAGAGCGTGCTTAGTTGGGTAGGTAACGCAGAATCGATATCAGATATGAGAATTACAGCTAATTCGTCTAGGTTCTTGATGAAGCGCATGAGCCTCTCGCGGCTATGGGATTTGAGGTGCAGCAAACGTTTGACGAAATTACAAATTCACCAGAGAACGTAAGTATCTGTCTATCTATCTAACCCGCTTGAGTCTAGATGCATATATGCTGATCATCCTAATTGGATATAGTGGTCTGATTTGGTTTAAATATTTTTCTACTTTTGGTAGACGATGCACGAGGCTATTGAATGAACCTGTATAATTGAACGAATCCCTAGAGTATGATGAATGATCCTTCACCGAGCCTCCCTTTTCCGTACCTATCTTTCCCCTGGAAGTGAGATGGGAGTACATACGTGGGGGGCTAGCTAGTAGAGCGCGATGCATACTTCTCTACTACTCTGCTCCAACAAAGGAAATGCTTCTATCCTGTGATTTTATATTCGGGGTGAGCGAACCGGCGTTTTTTGGAATATGGAGCCTATTTTTATCCAATCAAGAATTGAGCCTCTTGTAATTATTGAATCCTAAAACATTAATACTGCCGACTTAGTTTTGAGCCCCCGTCTTCCCGTCCTAGGGTTGCGTATGTTCTTCTTATTTAAAAATAGAATCGCGGTAATACTACAGCACCGCCCTCCGAATATCGTCCCGTTAGGATGCGATCTTCGCGACTTAATTCCGTGCTGTGGGACCTGGGAACATTAGAAAATAAAAAAAGAGAAATCGGCCGGACTGATAACGGGCTTGGGCTTGGTCTCGGCCTTCGTTGCATTACAACGCGATTGAGGTTGATACGTTGACATATGTAGGTCATGTCAGTCGGTAAAATCGATACGTCAGTCCCTAGGTAAGATATGTAAGGACGGACGTACATGCAAGAATAGCACCGAGGGACTGGTATGGAGAAGCAAGTAATTTAATGACAGATGACAGATAAAAAGTCGTTCGGCAATGTGATGATAGCAACCCCAGAGAAGGTAAGACGGCCGCAGGCTAAGGGCCTTGTAGTGTGCCTGTAGGGTGCCTGTTCGTCACCCCACCTACGAATGCTTTTTAACTCGTTCCAGAAGGTGAGAAATTGGTTTCTGCAGATTCGATGTCCGTGACAACTCCACCCTCCAAGACTGAGGAGAGAGGCCGATAAAGCCCTAACAGGCTTAGGCGCTTCTTAGCATCCTTAGGAACAGTCTACGGAGGAGCACGTCCTAGCACTAAGAGTAGTACTAGAAGTACTAGAGTCCATTTCCCCCAACATCTAAAGAGAGATCCCGAGGTCACCCAGGTCAACCCCCCCTATCAATTATCAACCATTTTGAGTGACACTCCGTCCGGTCCATGTATTACCCCAGTTCCGCCCAGGCACAACCTAGCCGCACCAGGTATCGTGGGTTGTATTGTAAGATTATTGTACCTATCAGCTTCTAGCCAACTAATACATCCATACCTAAAGTACCGTGCCTATCTAGGTATCTATCTTCTAGCTTACATACAGTACATCCTTTAGCTACCATGCCTCCTAGGTAGGTATCTCTATCCTACATTACTTTACTTACTGTACTTACAATACCTACATTTAAAATACCTATGTATGTACGCAGGTATGTGTATATGTACCTAGGTATGAAATCTGGGTTGATGGATAATCATTGATAAATCGGTCTTAGGGCTTCTAAAGATCCTCTTCCCTTGTTCTTTTGGTTCTTGAACTACCTAACCTGGTCCTCAATGCATTTTTTTTTCTCTTTGCCTAGGTAGTTCGCAGAAGAATATAGAACTTCTCCAGGTTCACAGACCAGCCCCCTCGCCAATTAGTACATCCATTACTGCACCGTCCCCGGCGGATCTACCTGGTATTCCATTTCTCCACCCCTTGGCCCTTGGCCCTTGGTCCTTAGCTTGGCTATTGTATGTTTCACGCCTCCACCTCCTCCGCTACGGCCCTACCTCTCTCTTTGCCTTAATACCTACTACCTACATGGTAAAGATAACAGTAGTTTTTTTGACGTTATTTTTTCCAACCTCCATCGAGGAAAAAAAAAATAATAATAATAATAAACTATTACGCTACTAAATAAATTCCCCATTACGCACGACCACGAATAAAACTCCACTTATTCCGCGACGACGAGAAACTAATCATCGTGCTTTATCTCTATTCTCCTTTTATTGCTATCTCTCACTATCTCTCGCTATCTTATTCCCTGTCCGGAACTCGGTTCTTCTCGGTCACATCTGCAGTAAGCGTCAGCACCAGCAGCGGCGTCAAACAAAAACAACAACCATTAATCTCCCCCAGCCGCGCAATAGGGTATTAGCCCTTTACGATGCGATGGCAACTTTCAACTCCATGCCGGCGCTGCAGTCTGGCGCCAGCCCGGGAGACGCCATGGGATTGAATAACATGTCTAGCTCTGGTTTAAATATTGATCCTTTCGAACCCGATCTCAACTTTGACGAATCTATGCTGTAAGTTCGACCCCGGTGTAGCGCATGTGTCCTGAGGTGGTGGTTGTTTGAATTGTGCAGTATATTCGCGACGTGGGAATCGTATAGCGCCGCAACGTGTTTAATAGTAAATACTAAGAATCCGAGTAGAGATAACGTCAATGGCAATTTACCTCCTTTACCTTTTACCCCCTCCTACGACTTCGAAACCTTTTCTACGACCTTCGAAGACCCCTTTAACTACTCCAAACCCTACGAGGCTGCGCCGCACGCGGAGGACTTCCACGATGAAGGATCGTCCCCGCAACAACCGGACGACAAGCTACTCAGCTTTTCGACGACAGCTGCGAAAGCTACCCCCTTAGATGATTCATTAGGCGCATATTCTGAGGTCAACATGACGGCCGAGCTATATGGTATGTTCTTCGTCGCCGAAGATGTGTTTGGCGGTGAATCTAGCGGGCGACCTTTAGAGCTCACGTGTTACCGGCGGAATCTCTGGCAATGTTCTGGGCAAATAACTATGCCGCGACATTGCACACAGGTTATGAACGAGCAAGGTCGTGCTATACCAATAATAGAATTCTTCGCCTCGATATCAGCGAAAGAAAGCATCGAAGGTAAATCTACCGAGATCATATCAATCCCGTGGAAGAGTAGCAATCCAGCTCTCGGCGAAGGGCAGGAAACCAAAGTAGCTAGCGCCCCACCAAAGATCGCACTCGACCTAAGCGGCGGCCAAGAAGTTGATGGTCATCGAGTCAGCATACCAGTATCATGGAAGCGGTTGCAATTTAAGAGCGCAACAGCGAATAATGGCCGACGGAAAGGACTACAACAGCACTACGTGGTACAAATTAGCTTACTAGGGAAGATGAAGACCGGCGGCGAGTTTATGAAAATCGCCGAAATCCAAAGCGGACCGGTGATCGTACGTGGACGAAGCCCGCGGAACTTTGATAGTAGAAAAGATGTCCCTCTTACGGGCGACAAGAAAGCTCCAGGTAGTGTAGAACGAGCGCGAACTCACAGCGATGCCAGCACGACGTCGAATTTAAAGGTGGAGCGGTCCGATTCCACACATAACTTACATCAATATTCCTCACCATCTCTAAGCAACACGGCGGCTCCCGGGTCGACCTGGCCGACAGCTCCGACTCCGGGGTATGGCCCACAAGCAAACTCCCAAGCACATCCGGCCAAGAAAATGGCGCTATCCCCTAACATGAACCGACCTCCCGTTCCAGCTTGGGGCAAAGAAGCCTCAAACAATAAAGCACAAGCATTGAGCAACCATACGAAGAACAATAATAATTCGTCCGCTCCATCCGTACCCATTAACTTATCACTATCCGAAGACGAGCGGAGCCCTAATAACCGCTCTAATTCGGATTCCCTTACTAGCCCAAAACTACATCGGACGTCTACAAGTCACGGCGCAGGTGGTAGTCCGATGGAGGAAGAGGAGGAATTGTATGAATATTTCCCGCTTAGTGTGGATGATTGGTAAGTGTCGTGCTACTCTTCCCTTACCCTATTTCAATGAATGTTACTAATATTTTCTTTTCTCTACAACAGGACACCTCTCGTAGACACAGTCTATCGGCCGCACATCGTCCATCACATCGCGGTACCACAAGAGATCAAGGCGCAACAGATCAGGAATAAGTCGAAGAGATATTTCTCTGCGGAATAAGTATGATCTACGCAGACTATATTCCTAGTTTCTTTACTCGGCATATTATCGTATATACTATATACACATGTATGGATTGGATCACACAAAAATATTTTTATATATCTAGCGAGGTGGGCTCGGTATGAACGAGCAAGCGAGTGCGGGAATACAAAAAAAAGATAAAAAGAGACGGCATTTCTTAATCAGGATATTTACCAAGCGAGCAAGCAAACAAGCGAAACACGCTGAACGGACGGACGGACAACGGACGAACGAGCGAACGAACGGCATCATGATTACACATTCAGGCGTTTTTTTGCTGTCCTTGTTTTTTTTGAGGGGGTAATTCCCCGTCTGTACTATGAATCGTACCCTATACTCTTGTTCATTATTGCTTTTTTGTTTTGAAGTACCTAGCTTCATATCAATACCTCTTGTGTATGTAGTATAGCGGGGAAAATCGCCGGAACCATCGTTGTTATTTTTTAGTTTAGCTCTCTCCCTCCCTTCTTTGTTTGATTCTCTAGCGGGATACCGAACCAAGCGAGCATCTACATAATAGGATTTTTGGGTACATTCAACAAATATACCCCTGATAATTAATCAGCCATCTCACTCATCTAACTTTTCTTGTTTGCATTTCTTGAACCATATACTCTAATCAAGTTCCTAAGAACGTTGCGATAGTAGTCATGATGATGTCTTTTTCATTATGCTAATAGGTAACCTGTGTTGTAACCCTTAACGCCTTCTAAATGTTATCGCTTTCGAAGCTCCTTGCTTGTTTACTTCCCATGCGACGCCCTCCCTGAAGACGATCCAAGACGATTGAAAGCACTCTATGCTTTTCGTAACTCATCAAGTAGAATGCAAATATGCGTTTTCAAACGAGAAAAAAAAAACAATAAAACACGAAAGGATATAAATGGTATATACAATATAAACGATCCCTTATCTATCTTAGAGCGCCCCCGAAAACTTTCTACGACTCGGTAGCGCACGCGAGTGCGACCGCAGCGCCGAGGATCGAGCTCTCTAGAGCCGGGACGAGGTCTACCGACCCAGGGTGCTCGCTGTGGGAGACGAGGTCATCGATATAACGTTGGCACGTGGCCCGGTATTCTGGGTAGTGCTCGATGACGGAACCGTTAAAAGCAACCTTCGTACTGGCCTCGATGTCCCTGATTTCTTCGTCGATCGAGGGCGATGGTAATACGACAGCGCTATCATTAGAAGGGGTAGATTTAGGCGTGTTGGGGATGTGTTCCGCCTCCGTCTCGTGCCGTAACTCCCAGAGTGAGAACACCGAAGCGGCTAATAGAGCGGCCGAGCGCCGTGATATTAAGCTTGCAAGACCACGGATTGCAGCTATGTCGGATACGGTAGGTGGCGTAGTACAAGGGTGATGTGTTGTGAAGTGCAATAGGGCTTTCTCGAGATTAGGTGATGTATCGCTAAAGTCAAAGGGTTAGCTTCCACCAGTATTAATATATTTTGCGTAGGAACTTACGCCTCGATTCTCGACAGAATTTCTGTGTCGAGAGAGTACGGCTTCTCTAGGGAAGGCGGTAATTCACCTCCCAATAACCCTGCCGTCTCAACAGCCTCGACTATGGCCAATCGGCAGATCTCCCCGAGGTAGAAACCACTTAATAAGTGCTCTAGTGGTTGGAAGTCGGGCCGGGGGTGAGAGGCGTTTAGGAGTTCGTCCCATCGCGTGAGGGGTAAGATATCTTTTCCGAACATGCCTAACTCTGTGTTTACAATAACGTGGCTTGCCGATTCGAACCAACTTTCTGGCCGTTTGCCATATTTAGAACGACTAAACGCCGACACAGGTAAGTGGACGGCAATATTAGTGCCCGTCCCTAAGATGAGGCCGAACCGTGTTGAGGCGTGAGTGTAGGCTTGTGATAATAATGTTGCTGAACTATCATTGACGATAGCGGCAAGCTGGACGTTGAGGTCGTGTTTCTTGCAGGCGAACTTGATAAGTTCGCCCAAGTCCTGGCCCAGTAGACCACTAGTGGCCAAAAACCCTTTGCCCATTCCGAGAAGAAGCCCACCGCCTAATGATACTTGTCTTATTGTCAAGATGTTAGTATTTTCATACGATGTCATGTGAAAGAGCGTTGGGCTTACTCTACGGGAAAACTCCAAGCAAGACCCATTGGTATTACGTCCTGGTCATGTGAGATATCCTTTTGAATAACCTCGTAGATCCTAGCAGCCATCCAGTCAAAGAAACTCATACCCTCAAGCTTCTTAACTTCTGGCGTGATCTTGAAGGTTACCATTCGAACGATCTCACATTCTTTTCCAGTCGCCTCCCGACCCCTTAGTTCCACTAGCGCAACTCTTAATGTTGATCCTCCGACATCGAGGGCAAGATATTGGCCTCGTTCTTTTCCGGTGGGTAATAGGTGGTTGAAGGATGGAAGCATGCATTCTGCATGGCTGTGTAGGCGTTCTCGAAACTGTTGCTTGAGATTCAAAGAATACTTCCTTAACCCGTCTTCGTCTATGGGACCCAGGAAAAGCCTCTCCGCCTCCTCTAAAAACTCCTCAAGGGTCCTCAACGGATACGTCCTCTTTCCGTCGACGTTATGTTCTTTTAAGGCCTTGGGGCTGACCCAAAACGCAAGAAGCGCTTGTAAGAAGGACCGGCCGCGCAAGAACGACTTCAGCGCCGCCAGTAACGATTTTTTTAATGTAATCATGGCAGAAGTGAGTGGCTGCATGACAGAGATACTATGCTCACAGGTCTAGTCGGGTTATATAAATATATATCATGAAGGTAACATGGATATGATGTGTCGTAAAAAAGAGAGAAGCAGGTGATATCCAGAAACGAGAACTCTATCTTGCGCCTTCAACCAGCATTCGTCATGTTTCAGCAGAAGCAGGCAATTGGCAAGCAACGAGAGAAGGAAGAGAAGTGTCTCCTTAGGGCCGCGTCAGGGCTCGTATAGGCGGGAAAAGGCTAGAACGGCAGAAATGAAACCTGCCGGTCAAATTCGAAGTTAACGAGGTGACCCCGTTGGTTGGATCTAGTAATGTACGATCCTAGAAGTAAAGAATAAAGAGCCAAGACCCCGGGTTTGAAGAGCACGGGGGGTGGGTGTTGTTCTGGTCAGGCCCAATGGGTTACAAGCATGAACGAATGGTGCAATGAGAGCGAAGGGACGATTAAACCATAGAAACAGTATTTTGTCTCTAATACGAGAAAGGAGTGGTTACTCTCGTTATGTCGAGATAGAGATACCAAGTGAGGTAAGAGACCCTTCAACTCTTTTTTACGCCCACCCCTGACCAAACGTGGCTCAAGCCCACGGCTATGCTTGTTTCAAAGCCTATTAGGACCTAATAGGAAAGAAAGAGAATACTACAATGCTACAACAACAACAGGAATAGTAGTGTAGAGGCGCCCCGGCGATATGGGTATGGGATAACCTAGTCCCTAGGTAGGGCCGGGGGAGGCGTCGATGCCAATGAAGTGGATCGCCAGGCAAGATGCAGCGCCCTTCGATTCCTAGGTAGGGCAGGTGACTTCCGGGTACCGGTGATATTGCGGGTTACTTTTCAGTTTGCCTAGGCTCGGTGGTACTCACGTAGCAGCTATGTATAATGTAATATTGGGGAAGAGGCAACGAGCGGATAAGATAGGTTAGGTTATGTTGTGTGGTAGGTAACAACAACAACGATGATAGACAGGATGGGGGCCAGATTCGAAGGGTGCAACCAATGAATTGACAGGATTGACAGCATGGAGGAGAACAAGGGAAGTAAGGAGGGGGGAAGATGGGGATGATAGAGAGGATGAGGAACCATTAGAGGTACACATTGTCTCACCTTGGTGGTGTTGTTGTTCATTATCTGCCATTCTGGGTCAAAATGGTTTGTAGATGTAACGTTGTAGACTCTCTGGAATTTTTTCTTGTTGTTGAGACTTTAACGTTCTAGTCTTTAAGCTCCTCACTAGTCCTAGTGTGTTATTTAAATTTGAGAAGGGGGCAAGGATCTTCGCTATCTTGTCCGCCCACTCGCCCTGCTGCCCTGTCGCCCTGGCCCGCCAATGCACGAGCCACATGGCGTTTGCATTACTCTGTACTGCACTTACCGACCCGTCGTTTTAGCGTTACCTAGCGATTTATACCGTAGCACTTTACTTTCTTATCCATTCTCTATTCTCCATTCTATCTACCGGGAGTAGGGGAGTAATGTTGTTACATGCCTTCAAACTTTCATCTACACTTTCCTAACTATTACAATAACAACTTTGAATACATAACTAATGAATAAGACTAATAGGAATAGGTAAGCCACGAGTTACATTATGCATGCGGCTTAAGTATTCCTTACCTAACTTGAATACTACATAACCTAGTAGGGGGAGGAAGTTCATTCTAGCGAATCATACATTTCCATATTCCATATTCATCTATTTTTCAATATCTTCACACTTAGCCGACAACGTCCTTAAACAAGATTGATTACGCGTACGGTAGTGTTCTGCTTGGCTGAAAAGATATATTTTGATTTTCCCTAATTCATCGTTGCGGCTCTGATAGGAATTCAATATATATGATGCGGTCGACTCCCATTGTTCAACCCAATCCAACTCACTAAAGAAAAATAAGACACATTCCATCCATCTTCAATGGACCCAATGGACCTAATGGACGGATACAAATCCTAGTCGCCCCACTGCGGGAACCAAGATGATGTCGAAATTGCATAAGCTCAACTATCAATCTCGTCAAGGACTTTGCTCTTCTTCTTTTCATATATGCATAGTATGCATAGAATGCATTGGGTAAGTCGTTCGGCTTACCAGTTATCCTCATAGGGGTATTTCTTTGACGTTATATCGTCACGATCAGTAAGCGAACCCGAGATCTCCGGAATAGGTGAAAAGCATCAGATCAGAGTAATATCTCGCTATTATGTACTCGTCAAATAAAACAGGTTGTCGAGCTTGTGGTTGGCCGGAGCTCGCGATTTACTGCTCACAAAGCAACCAACCAGATAGCTCAAGGAACCACATGACCTAAAACAATTCATGGACAGGTTACTGCTACAACGTTCAATGAGCCTCCCTAGTCGCAAGCGTGAGCTCACTATCCCGACCCCGGTGGAGAACAAGCCAATCCGGCCAAACGTTCCATCGCCGGCGGTAGACCCGATGCTATCCATCCTGCTGCTTGAGGTCTTTCCTATCACCTTTGCCACTATGAGGCTCCTCTTCATAATGAGTCCGAAACCTGTACTGCTCTAGAGCTGTTTTTGTAGCCTTTCTTCTGTTTCCTAAGATAACCCTCCAAAGAAATATCCAAATCTCGCTTTCACACTTCCCCCCTTAATCCTCTTCTTACCAATCATATCCCGTAGTACCATTATCTACCACGTTTTTACCCCTCTCTATTTCCAGTAACAATTCAAAATGAGACTTATCATTCGCGACGACTCCGAAACTGCTAGCTCCTATGTAGCTAATTACATCATCGAGAGAATCCGACATTTCAATCCCACTCCGGCACATCCCTTCGTACTTGGTCTACCTACAGGTTCAAGTCCTCTTGGTGTATACAGGATCTTAGTTGAGCAATACAAGGCTGGGAATGTACGATTTACCTAGATTTTGAGCATTTTTAGTGGAAGCTGACGAACTTGTGTCAGATCTCTTTCGAAAATGTCGTCACTTTCAACATGGTATGAAACAACTTCACTACAACCCAATTCAACTCCAAGCTAGTCTAAGGCGCTAACTCGGATACTCATAGGATGAGTATGTCGGCATTCCTCGAGACCACCCGGAAAGCTACCACTCCTTCATGTGGAAGCATTTCTTCTCCCACGTTAACGTAAACCCAAACAACGTACACATACTCAACGGCAACGCACCAAACCTCGAAGCGGAATGCGTCGAATATGAGGCCAAGATTAAGCGGGCTGGTGGTATCGACTTATTCTTGGGTGGAATTGGTGAAGATGGTCACATCGCCTTCAATGAACCCGGCTCCAGTCTAGCCTCAAGAACCCGCGTTAAGACCCTAGCTTATGATACTATTCTCGCCAATTCCCGTTTCTTCGGCAACGATATCGCCCAAGTCCCTAAGATGGCCTTGACGGTCGGTGTTCAAACGGTTCTTGAGGCGAGGGAAGTCGTCGTCATTATCCTCGGTGCTCGCAAGGCTCTCGCTCTGCAAAGGTGCATCGAGCAGGGTGTTAACCACATGTGGACGCTTTCAAGTCTTCAGCTGCACCCCCACCCCATGATAGTGTGTGACGAGGACGCTACATTAGAGCTGCAAGTGAAGACCGTTAAGGTAGGCGTTTTCCCAGGATAGATCTACAAACATCCGCTAACTAGTGTAACAGTACTTCAAGAGTATCGAACAAGTTGCAAGGCAACAAGGCTTTGAGCAGATCCTCCCGTCAAGCATTCGGACCGGGCCAGGCCCAGTGCCCAAGACTATGGTCGAAGAAGTTCAGTCCCCTACCATCCTCCACCCGCAACCTATGACGTCTCGTTTATTGCTCGCAACACCAGCTGCGGAGTATCCAGTCCGCTCAGTATCTCCGGACCTAGTGCCGGACCGAATGGCGGACCGCGTCGGAATACCAGATATTTCGAGGAGGTTAACCCCTCAACCCGAGCACCAACAACAGCGGTTAGCTAGTGTCGGAGCGTAACTTTGCAATTTGTCAGTAGAACGGTAGATGCATCATGCATGTGATCATCACACACCAAGGTGTTTGGACTTGGATGGATAGGCCTTCTCACGAAAATTGAATTAATAGGGCTAGTTTGAAAATTAAAGGGGAATGATATAGAATTGATATTGAATGCGAACTAACAAGGTGGTAGACTACGTGTTGAGGCGGCTAAGATGTACCTGGATTACCTATGTAGACAGAGTTGCTACGTGGGTTTTTATATATTCGCGAACAGTATCATTACGAATGCATGAGGCATTTGATATATGTGTACGATCGATAAGACATCATGATAGACATTAGATACCCAAATATAAATATTGTTTATTATAGCGTGTTAGTTTATACTGTGTTTGTTCATTGTGTTACTGAAGACTTGGCTCCAAATTCATACAACTCACGAGTACCAGTAGATAGCTTAGATACCTAGGTAGGTAGGTAACTCGGCGGGGTTCAAATCGATGCTCGTAAGATCAAGCCATTTTTCATTCAAATCTTCCTATATTTGCAACATGTTACTACCCGGTGCCGAGTCGTGCATAGTGGCTTCGGAGAAGGGGTTTATTCAGCAGGTACCTAGTGAGGTAATTAAATATCCCTATACATATGAAATTGATGGCGTCGTGAATCGACTCTGACAGGTTGGTAAACGGTGCGACATGTCACATTTAAAAGGGGATTGGTTAGATCGTCCCGTCCGTCCCGCCCCTCATAGAAAGAAATGCATATATGTATGTACCTAGTTAATTGATCGTAGTATGGGCAGAGCGGGACGATGTTGGGGTAGATAAGCTTTGTGGGGGATTCTTTATAGGAGGTAATGGTACCTACCTAGGTACTAGGTAGGTAGGTACTGGGTAGGACAGGCACCGAATCTAAGTAAAAAACTGTTGAAGGTGACTGTTTTAGAGCTTCCTCTTTCGAGACCGTCAATGGTATGCTACATACCTAGGTACCTTTAAAATAAGCCCATCCAGGTACAAATCCTCCAACATCAACACCAGGGAGACCCCGTCTATCATATGTTAATTAACATTAAGCATCCCTAAACAGCAATGTCTTGGAACTTCTAAGACACGACGCGCGGAGAGGGTATTGGATTATGTTATAGACTTCAGATGATCATGACCATCAACATCTCAAGCTACATATATCACGATACATCTACAGATCGGATAACAAGCTCACCTTGCATAAAGCCAAGCTTAAGGATCCATCGTCTCGGCTTTGGTGCAGTAGACTTGTAAAAAATCCGACCGGGTATCTTATCTTATTTTATTTTATTTTATTTATTTATTTTTTCATGAAAACCTGGGATCAATCCTGGATAACGGCCATGCCGACTCATTTATCCAGAGTCTAACCATGCACAATGAGTGGCCATCGAAACGGGGACCTGCAGCCATGATTAACATTTCCTGCTTAGTTGTATTCCGCAAGGAAACAAACTGCCATTGGCCAGAAAAACAAAATGAGGGGAGCATCGAATCTGCGTTAGGTGGTCCAATGACGCCGGCAAGATGATCATGGGCGATACAAGGCAATACAACCAACTGCTACCTTAGCTCATCCCCCGCATTTCGCCGGTGGTATGCCCGTTTTCTTCTCATTCCTTTTAGGGCACACTCTTGTTATTCTTGTTATTTCACTTGCCGAGGAAAGACAGCGAGTAGCTACCGTTTAGGTGCCCCGATCCAATCGCGTGCCCTACCATCCCCAAGTATCCCCTGGGGCGCATGTGATGCTGGATGCTCTGTATGGCCCTCGAGTTCAGCTCATGATGTAGGACAACGCAGCTGATTGTACAATTATGTACCATAACCAGTTCTGGTTCGACCTAACACTCACGTAGCCATACATGTAGCTGCTGCCTACCTATCCGGTATCCATGACATCCGGATGCAAGATGCAAGGATTTTACGTTGGGAAACTATCCAATATGGCTGGTCGATCCTTAAGCTTGATTTTTTGGTTTGTACACCGACGTAGTTATCACCGTCGAGGTTGCATCCTGGACGGGGAATAGAACAGGTGCTAGTAAACATGTCTAAAAAGCTGCCTCCTGCCTCTCTCTTTCCATCTTGGTCGTGGAATAAAACCCCCCTAGCTAGCAGTAACGGGGAGGGAAAGCGGTGCAACAGACTTGATTCTATTACTCCGCCACCAAGACATCAAAGCAGCTAACCACCAAACACAGCTATTATGGCTCGACCGTATTTCGCCAACGGTCGATCGCGAGGGAGGCCGATATTGGCTTTTGTCACGATATTCTCATTTTTCGTTCTAGGGGCATTCATCGCGATAAAGTCAGGCGCGCCAGCACGGCCGCATACTTTCGATTTTCGACATGCGACGTCGCGCGCCAACACCCAGTTCGAATCGGAGACTAGGGCGGAAGGAAAAGGCGATAAATATCTAATTGGTGTTGGAAAAGCTGATATAACCGGCCCTGTGGTGGAAATCAACTTTGCTGGCTATGCCGACCTCTCCCAAACCGGCACGGGTCTCCGACAGCGAATCTTCTCGCGGGCGTTTATAATCGGCGATGTTAATAACCCGAACGATCGATTCGTATATCTGGTCCTTGATGCGCAGTCCGGCGATACGGCTGTGCGATTTGGCATTTTGGATGGCGTTGCTGCGCTCGGAGATGACTACGCCGCGTACGGATCAGGGAACATCGCCGTTACTGGAACGCACGCTCATTCTGCACCGGGCGCTTGGTTTAACTACCTACTTCCACAAGTCACCAGCTTGGGTTTTGATAAGCAAAGTTACCAGGCTCTCGTTGACGGAGCCGTATTATCGATTAAGAGAGCTCATGAGTCCTTGACTGAGGTAGGCGAAGTTGTAATTGACGAAGTTAGCCCTTATAACTAACATTTCGAATTATAGGGATACCTCGATTTTGGTACAGTAAAAAGATACTTACTATTTAGAATTCCTCTAATAGATTTATAGGGAAGGTGAACATTACGGATAGCAATCTCAGTCGAAGCCTATACGCCTATTTGGCTAACCCAGCCGAGGAGCGCGCTCAATACACGGACGACGTTGACAAGGAAATGACTGTTCTCAAGTTCCAGCGAGCATCCGACAACAAGAATATAGGCATTTTGACATGGTTTCCCGTACATGGCACGTCCATATATCAGAACTCCACACACGGTTTGTCAATACTTTTTTCTTAAACTTTGTATAAAACATAATTACTAAGAAATTTTCAGTGGCTGGCGACAACAAGGGAGTCGCAGAGATCATGTTCGAGAAAGCAATGGAAGGCGATGACTCTGCTGCCGATGGATTCGTCGCCGGGTTCTCTCAGGCAAACGTCGGAGACACAACTCCTAACACGGGAGGCGCTTGGTAAGCATAATTATCCTCAATTTCCAGGTTCATTAAGCGGTATTAACACGATCCCAAGGTGCGATGATGGGTCAGGTCAGCAATGTAGCTTGGAAAATAGCACGTGCGCTGATGGTAAATCTGAGTCCTGTCATGGGCGAGGACCTCTTTTTGAGAAGCTCGACCTCGGAATTGCTAGTTGCTATGAGATCGGCAAACGCCAATATGATGGCGCGCGATCAGTCTATGTGAGTAGGATACCCCTGTGGTCTTCAAACACCCATTAATATCGTATTAGGACGCTTTCGGTTCATCCGGCACTGCCGTCGTTGGTTCGACTGTGAAAGCGTTCCATTTTTATCATGATATGAGCTTCTGGAAATTCCAGCTAGATAACGGGACCGAAGTGCAAACATGTCCTGCGGCGTTAGGTTATTCTTTTGCTGCCGGTACATCTGATGGACCAGGTCAATTTGACTTCACGCAAGGTGATTCTGGAACTCCAAGTGCGAGCCCTATCTGGGAGGTAGTAAAGAGTTTGCTTCGCGCACCCTCACCCGAACAACAGGCGTGCCAGAACCCCAAGCCAGTTCTTTTAGACGTCGGCGAACTATCCGAGCCCTACCCGTGGAGTCCTAACATTATCGACGTTCAGTTACTACGAGTTGGACAGTTCGTCATAATCATAAGCCCTAGTGAAGCTACTACAATGGCCGGGCGCAGATGGCGTGCTGCCGTCAAAGCTGCTGCCACGGACCTCACCGATGTTGAACCAAATGTTGTACTAGGTGGACCGGCCAATACGTATGCGCACTACCTAACTACACCCGAGGAATACGGCATCCAGAGATATGAGGGAGCAAGTACGCTCTTTGGTCAATGGGAATTACCCGCATACATCAACCTCACCGTCAGCAACATCAAGTACCTCGCACCCGATGCCTCAGGCTCACCCGACGCGGGCCCAAAACCGCCGGATAACCGCAACAGCAGTCTGAGCTTCATCACGGGGGTTGTCCAGGATAATCCGCCGTCAGGGAAGGCATTCGGAGACTGCACCACGCAGCCTGAGTCGAGCTACACGCGTGGCGCTGTCATCAATGCTACGTTCGTTGGTGCCAACCCGCGAAATAACTTGCGGCTCGAAGGTACTTTCGGAGCCATCGAGAAGCAGGATGGAGATACTTGGACGCAGGTCCGGGATGACTCTGATTGGTCTTTAGTTTACACATGGACGCGCACCAATACGGCGTTGGGTTACAGCGAGGTTACTATTACTTGGGAGACAGAATCCGATGCTGAACCTGGGACGTATAGGACAAGGTATTATGGCGATAGTAAGGCGTTGATCGGAGGGGGTATCACGGCTTTTAATGGAACTAGCAATACATTTACGCTGAGTTAATGGTAGGTAATACTATGATACGGAGGAGGGTGCGGTTATAAGTAAGGGCGATGAATATCGCGAGTATGTATATAATGAACCTCGCATATCATCCTAAGACGTGGTTTAACGGTATTAAATTTGGCTAGTTTCCTGCGAACTCCATCATTTAGGTAGTTGCGATGCGGGTATTTTAATAATACTTAATAGGTGAGGTGTCTTTGTGTCTGTCTAAGAAGCAACAGTGAGCGTAGCATTGTTCCTAATATCCTTACTTGAGCTACCAACATGAATGATAAACTCGCCAGGCTCAACAACGTACTTCATATTTATATCCCAGAGTCCTAGGTCAGCGACATTGATATCGATGCTTACAGTCTCGGTAGCGCCAGCCTTTATGAAGACTTTAGAAAAGCCCCGTAGCTGTTTGTTAGGCACCACAACGCTAGCTACTACATCTTGGACGTAAAGTTGAACTACTTCAGCGCCGTCGCGTGTCGAGTCATTGGTGATGTCGACTGAGACCGTTATTGTGTCGGTTGGAGACGCGGTGGATCGAGAGAGCTTCACTTTGGAGTATGTGAAAGTGCTGTAAGATTTGCCGTAACCGAACTATGATAAATGTCTATGCATTAGCGACTATTCGAGGAGCTTCATGCAGTAAGAAGGGATGTAGAGCGGGGAATATACCTCATAGAGTGGCAGAGGGCTCTGTAACACGTAGTTGTGGCCAAATTGCATAGATCCGTCGGCGTTAATAACACCTGGATCGGGGTAAGCCCGTGCCGAATTCAAATAGTCATAGTAAATCGGCGTGGTCCCAATATCGTAGGGGAATGAAACAGATAGCTTCCCGGATGGGTTAACATCACCGAAAAGAATATCTGCTAAAGCATAACCCCCTTGCTCAGAAGGGTAGAACTGCTGCACAAGAGCCGACGCAGCATCTGAAATCCAAGGTTCGGTAATGGGTTTTCCTGAGCTGAAGACGACGACGGTAGGTTTCCCTGTGTCGATAATGGCTTTGACCAGATGCGGCATAGCACCAACGAGGTTCAAATTGTGGACATCGACATGCTCGCCCGTCGTAGCATTGAGACCACCCCAGAGTTCATCTTGATCCCGCGACCATGTACCTACGACCACAACCGCTACATCGGAGTCTCCCGCTGCTGCGACAGCTTCGGCAAAGCCAGATTGATCATTCGACCAGCGCTCGCAACCTTTCGCATATGTAACTTTTCCGATACTCGCCGCTTTGATACCGTCTAGTGGTGTAACGCCTCTGTACTGCGATTTAAAGGGAACATAATCACCGTACTACTAGACGTATTAGCATCCTTCTCCTAGTCTGGGAATATTTGCATTACTGACATTTACGAAGCCATGAGCCATTGGACCGATAACGACAATGTTTACGTCTTTTTTGAGGGGAAGTACATTTTCGTGATTTTCAAGGAGTACGATAGATTCCGCGTCTAGTTGTCTGGCAAGTTCGACGGCTTCGGGTGTATTGATGTATTTAGCTTGTTCGGCCTCCGATACCCCAGTAAAGGGGCTCTCAAATAACCCTGCCTCGAATTTCGCGCGCAATAGTCTGGAGACAGCTTCGTCTACTATGTCGATGGGCAGCTTGCCCGATTCAACCAATTCGGGGATTTTCTCAAAATTGAAGGATCCACCACCCATCTCAACGTCGTTACCAGCTGGAAGTGCCTGGGCTGCGGTAAGACATATATTTCAAGCCAACCCAAGTTATTGAGGACAAACTTACATAATTAACTACGGCTTTAGAATCGATGGGGTCAGATCTACACATCTTGAAATCTTTGCACAGGCGGTCCGTGGCTCCCGCATCGCTCATCACCTAACCCTATTAGAGCTCATACCTTCATTATCGGTAAACGGATTCACTCACGAAATATTTATAACCCCATTCGCCCCTTAAGATATCAGTAAGGGTATGCTTGTCGGCAACTGCGGGTACTCCATCGTAACTGTGGTAGGCTGACATGATCGAAAATGCGCCACCATCGATGATTGCTCGTTTGAAGGAAGGAAGATAAGTGGTGCGTAGCTCACGCTCTCCACCATGAACGGGTGCGCAGTTAATACCTTGCTCAGGTGTCGCGAAGGCAGCCTTAAATGTAAGTATTATCTATTCAAGAAATTGAAAAAAAGATGGAAGTCTTACAAAATGTTTAACCATAGCGCTGACATTTCCTGACTGGAGGCCCTTGACGTATGCGTGAGCGAGTTCGCCCGTTCTAGTATATTTATTAGTCGTATATATGAGTCTTGGGAAAATATCCGTCTTACAGATAGCTGTCTTCTCCGAACGTCTCCTCTACACGACCAAACCGCAATTCGCGAGCCAAATCAGCAAGAGGTCCAAATATCTGATTTACACCTAGAGCGCGAGCTTCCTGAGCAATAATCTTTGTCATCTTTTCTACTAGTGATGGGTTGAAGGAGCAAGCATGAGCAATGGGCGAGTTGAAAATAGTGGCGTTCGGGATCAAAAACCCATGTATGCCTTCGGATTGCACCCAAGCTGGTATACCTAGGCTCGTATTCTGTATCAAATAGTCTTGGCCGGTTTTGACGCCATTGCTAAGCATCTCCCAAGGTATGGCAATACCCACGTAGAATGATCCAGCTCGTGACTGCATGCTCCATTCAAGACCCGTGTGGTTTACACTGCCATCACTGGTATCGAGCCAATTTCTCAGGTCCCCTTGGACAAGTTGGGACGTCTTTTCTTCGATACTCATCCGCGATAAGAGGTCAGCGACTCGGTCCTCGGCCGGGGCCGACGAATTCTTATACAGCGGTACGCTGCCATTATTCGATATGGCCAGTGCAACAGTCACGAACGCTGTAAGACAAGACAGTATAAGTGGCGACATCTTCATTGGGTTCTCTTTGGGTATTTGGTAAGATACCACGAGGCGAAGGCAGCTGGAGATGACCCCAAAGATCGTTCGCTACAACATTACAACTTATATCATAACTACATTGCGAATATCCCTGGCTGGTATAGTCACATCGAAGGTCAACTCAAGAGCTTTAGTTAACCGACGGGAGGACAATCTCCGCATTCTAGGGGTTTAAGCCTCTGCATCCTAGTCAACATTGAATTCGAATCACTTATTCGGAGAAATGAGCGATCTGAAATGATACATAGACGACCACGGCTGTCTTCGCATCGCTATGATTTAGGTATTTAGGTAGGTAGACTACTCCTGTTCCCAAAGATAGCATAAAGGCCAAGAATCGACCGCCTCCCGAGACAGAAAAAGAAAAATTGGAGACAAGTCGGAGAGGAGGGTGAGGAGGGTGAGGAGGTTGGGGTTCCCCAGAGAAGATACATTATATCACAGTGTATTAAGCATGCATCGGATACGGTGATAGGCTCCTCCTTTTATTGGTGGGGGAAGATTCTACCGAAATAGGCCAAGTAGACGAGCCATCCCCGCCCATCTGAATTGAGGATCGTGGAGACAGTAGTCTTGCTTCGTTTGCAATTGAACCGACGAGCTGTCGCTTGCCTCCACTTGACGCCTAGTTCCTACTGTCGCTACTCTTCTTAAAGTTAGAGAGGAATGACTTGAAAGCTATCATATACGCGATGCGAAATATATGCGGATAGACTGCAGTGAACCTCTCGCAAACCCGGGCCGGTCTCCGTCTCCTCACGATCGCCTAAGCCAAGGCCAGTAGACATCCAGTACGAAGCGTAGTTTGACTTCTCGTGATACTACATAGGTGAATATGCGTCCGATATGCGGCTCCAGTTGGGGTCGGGCTTCATCGACGCGACTTGGTCCTCATTGGGCTCCACATAATGTGAAATAGAAAAGCTCCAGCTTTATTTCATAACCTCTCCCCCCTATGCATCGTAAACGATTCATTTTGCTTTATTCGAGGTATTTTTTCTTGATTGATGAGAACCATCAAGCATCGCCAATATGAAATTTCGCGATGGAATGTGGATGGTGGCGGAGGGGATGCGTGTTGAGTATGCCGAAGAAGTCTATGACATTACAGAAACAGCAAGAGGTCTGAGCCTACTATGTCCCTCAAAGAAAATTAGGAGCCGCGGTGATACCTTGAATACTAGCACATTGACTATTGTAAGAATATTTTCTGATATTGTCTCTCCGGAATTAACACCTGCGTACCCAGGATTTGGAGGCACCCTATGACGGCATTATATCTGTTGAGACTACACATTGGGCGGGTGCTGCGAGGAAAGGTCCCCATTTCGACATCTTCCCTGGTACGACCCCGAATTTTGAGCCCACAGTTGTTCAACGAGATAAAGGCACAACACTGAGCTCAGGCTCACTCTCAGCAACGATAAATCCGGACGAACATACCTTTGGCATTCAGTTTCATAGCACGGATGGGTCGAAGGTCTTGACTTCTTTAGCTTCGCGCAGCGTGGGCCTGGCTTATAACCCCGCTCCAAGCAACCCACTGCAAACAGGAGATATGAGAGACTTTAAGCACTATATCTTCACCCAGACGAACCTAGGAGTCGGCGAGTCTGTCCATGGCCTCGGGGAGCGCTTTGGTGCTTTCAATAAAGTAGGACAATCAATATCGCTGTGGAATGCCGACGGTGGCACGTCCAGTGACCAAGCGTATAAGAACGTCTCATTCTGGCTCAGTTCTAGAGGATATGGAATATTTATTGACACTCCGGGGAAGATCGAATTGGAGATTGGAAGTGAAAGGTGCTGTCGTGCTCAGACTAGCGTCGAAGGCCAGAGACTGAAGTGGTATATAATATATGGTCCGACGCCGAAAGAGGTGCTCTACCGATACTCGATTCTAACGGGCAGGCCCAATCATGTACCAAGTTGGAGTTATGGACTTTGGCTTACTACTAGTTTCACAACTAATTATGACGAAGCCACTGTCAACTCTTTTCTCGAAGGCATGAAAGAGCGAGATACCCAAGTAGATGTCTTCCACTACGATTGCTTCTGGATGAAGGTAATGCGTTAAGAGACTACCCCTTCCGCGCATATTCTAATGTTTTCTAGGGATTCAAATGGACAGACTTTGTTTTCGACTCTGAGAAATTCCCTGACCCCAAAGCACAAATTGCTCGACTGAAATCTTCCGGCCTGGTTAACAAGGTCTGCGTCTGGATTAACCCATATATCGCTCAACACGGTGATGCATTCCAGGAAGCAGCGGAGAAGGGGTACCTTGTCAAACGAAAGAACGGTGACATTTGGCAATGGGATCTATGGCAAGCTGGTATGGGCCTAGTCGACTTCACTAATCCCGAAGCCGTAAAGTGGTACGTCAGATGTCTGAATGAATTGTTCGACAAGGGCGTCGATTGTATGAAAACCGACTTTGGCGAGAGGATTCCGACATTAGATGTGGAGTGGTTCGACAAGACGGTTGATCCACACAAGATGCACGTAAGTCGAATGTGCTAACTTAATCCTTCGTTCAAAGGTCGAGATCGATTGAGTAACATTTCTGACTTTCTCTCGATAGAACTACTATGCCTTCCTGTATAATAAGGTCGTATACGAAGCCCTACAAGAACGCTACGGCGATAAAGAAGCCGTGCTTTTCGCTAGAGCCGCTTGTGCAGGTACGCAGAGATTCCCCCTCGTATGGGGTGGCGACTGTGAGTCCACGCCGGAAGCTATGGCCGAGTCAGTGCGTGGAGGTTTAGGTCTAGGCCTGTGCGGTTACGCTTTCTGGTCCAACGACATCGGCGGATTCGAAGGATACCCGGCGCCATGGATTTATAAACGATGGGTTGCATTCGGCCTTCTATGCTCTCACAGTCGTCTTCATGGCAGCAGCTCCTACCGCGTGCCCTGGACAATTGACAACGACGATCGGAGCGAGGAAGGATGTTCGCGCACCCTTGCGAAGTGGACGGCACTCAAAACCCGTCTGATGCCATATGTCTTTGCTCAAGGTTCGAGAGCGGTATCACAGGGTATTCCATTGTCCGTGCGCGCCATGTGCCTCGAGTTTCCCGAGGACCCCACATCCTGGTATCTAGACCGACAGTTCATGATCGGCGATAGTTTGTTGGCCGCACCCATTTTTGATGAATCTGGTGAGGTTGAGTTTTATTTGCCCAAGGGTAAGTGGACTTGCTTCTTTACGAATCGAGTGAGAGAAGGCCCTGGTTGGTATCGAGAGAAGCATGGCTTTGGTAGCTTGCCTTTATACGTGCGTGAGAACACGTTACTCGTTTTGGGTAAGCCTGGTATCCGTGGCGCCGTTTACGACTACGAAACCGATGTTGAGGTATGCAGATATTATGTAAAGGAGGGCGCAAATGCGGAGCTCGTCGATAGTAGTGGAAAGGCTCTTGGTACCCTGAAAATTGGTGCTGATAATAGCACTCTTGAAGGGGCGGAAATCCTTAAGGGAGAGTGGACGACGAGTAGTGATGGTCGAAAACTCGAAGACGAGTCATACTTACGGACAATCGAGTGGCTTTAATGGAGATGAGGGCTATCCTTGGTAACCAAGCAGTGTAAAGAAGATTGAATTAATATGCAGCTGTGGAAATATCAATGTAAATTCTCAAATAACTTTTTCAGACTTGCTATTTCGATTTCGTCAAGCGTGACGCTGCGTTAAGTACATGCTGATAGATGCTAAAAATCAACGCGAAAAATCAAAAGGGAATAAAAGAATGGTATGATGTGGCCTGCTGGCGATTAGATGTTGTACATGTCTGAACGGGTATACGCAGGTACGCTCTTAAACATGACGCTCCTTAACACCGACCCCTTGCAAAACCCTACTTCTTAATATCTCAGCTCGACACGCGAAAAGCGCTTCTTCATCGAGTCGACTAACCAGTCCCTTTCCTGAGACCGAGAAACTTCACTGCTGCTTCGGCTAAGCTTCCACATGCCTTGCTTGCTGAAGTCAGATTGAACCTCGACCTTGCCACTGCGGAAAGACCCATTCACTTTTCGCAAATTGCGACGAACCATATCAACTTCAATTCCAGAAGATGATTGTGTTTGTGCCTGAGGCTCGGAGCCATTAGAAGCCCACAGGCCGTCCTTGATAGTAGACGTTGTCTTAGCTGGCTGGTTAGCCCAGAGTAAAGGTGCATCACGGGCGACGCTGCGCTTCAACATCTTCGGATCAATTGCGGGATGGGCTGTCTCGGTGCTGGTTTCCATGGAGCCAAAGAAAACAGGATGTCTTATAGCGACATCGAGCTCAGCAGGTTGGCTTGGAGAGCTCTGAGTTCCTCTCCGTTTTAACATCCTCGGGCCGACTGCCGGGTGAATTGTCTCGGCCATCGTGTCTAGAGAACCCATGAAGACAGGGTGGCGAACGGTGACGTCGAAGTGATCGGGCTGAGGGTAGCTGCTGACAATAGCTTCTTGGAGTTCAGCCTTCCACTGTGCGGGGATAGTTTGGCCTCGCGAGAACCTGATATCGGGGTTTGAGGCGATAACAGCTTCACGAAGTGCGGCGGACCAATCCCGGGGAGAGGCAGGTTTGCGAATGACCTTGGGTGGCACATGGCTAGCTTTGACAGCCTCCTGAAGCGCCATTTCCCAATCTTTGGGGTAGGAAGCTCGTAGTGCAACCATGGACCCGGGGTAGCTAGCAACGATGGCTTCGCGGAGGGCGCCATCCCAATCCGCGCGATATGCAACGTTAGGGCAGTGCAGATGACGGAGAGGGGTACGTTCCGGCTTTTTGTGGGGGATTTCGTCCAAGTTCTTCACTGCAAACTCCTCAGGAAGCTCGGGCACGGCCGGGATTTCAGGTGCTACCTTTGGTGTAGAATCCTCGGGGGTCTTGGCAGATTTCGATCCCTTCTTCTTTCCAAACCATCCGCTGAAGAAGCTGCTGGTGCTCTTGGCCGAAGACGCTTTCGTAGTGCTTGTCTTGACAGAAGATGAATCACTCGTAGGCGATGATGGAGCAGAGCTTGCTGTAGACACGGAAGCCACAGAGGGGCTTCGGGGTCGTACGGAAGAAATCGTAATCCAATCCAGCTCGACTGAGTTGATTTGACTGCTACTCCAAAGACGGGTCGATTCAAGCCTTGGGATGGGCTCAGTAACAAGACGAGCTTTTCGAACCATATAGAGTGCGGCTGGCTCTGCTGGGGTAGTTCGATATTCCTTGCGGGTTGGGTCAAGCTGGAATAAACCGGACACGATGGGCATCGACAGAGTGGGTTTATTCCATAATGAAACACCCAGGTCAGTAGTAACATGAATCAATCTAGGTTGAACATCCCAGAGTTTTGTACTTGTTAAGGTCGCAAGGGATTCTTCCGCCTTACGAGGCCTTTGAGTCATGTTGATACCGGCCGGGACCTTGGATGTCCTCTTATAATCAGCTCTCACGACATTGGCGTCGAATAGACCTTCATGATCCGACCCCAGGAATGATAGAGTGGGCATTTCCCACAGTAAATTCGTCTGAGGTGACACCGGGGCCTGTTCGCATACAGAGAGGGGCTCAGGTACAGAAATGGGGAGTTCGCGTTCTGGAGACATCTCAGCCCAGAGACCAGTTGATGTAATCGATGGCAATGGCTCCTTGATCGAGCGAGGTTTCTTTGACATGGAAATGGCAGCTGGGATTTTAGAAGTATTACGGTAGTTGCCTCTCGTGATATTAACGTTGAATAGGCCTTCATGTTCGGGTTCTGAGTTTGTTTCCGGCAACTCCCATAATAAAGGAGTCTGAGCTTTGAGCACTAATTCCTTTTGAACTGAACGAGAAGTGGGCTTAGGCATAAAAAGCCAAGTGCCATTAACAGAGTCTGAGACCGAAATCTCCCGAGACCACAGACCATCTGTTTGCAAGTTGACTAATGGCTCCTTAATCATACGGGGAGCCCTTTTCATGGAGATGGCAGCAGGCTCCTTCGTAGTTCTTCGGTAATCAGTCCTAGACATGTTGTTCTCAAATAGGCCATCGCGCTCGGGCACATTTACAACGACGGGTTTCTCCCAGGTCAGTAAATTTTTACCTGTAACCTCGCCAGTCCAAAGAGATTTCGAAATTAGATTTTCCAACGGCGTCGCTATAGCGCGAGGTTTCCTCATCATCAAAAGGGCAGCGGGCTCTTTTGAAGTTCTGCGGTATTCTCTCCTGGAGTGGTTGGTGTTGAACAATCCTGAGATTTCTGAAACTAGAGAAACCGCAGGTTGAATCCAAAGAGATGGTTTGGTGAATGCAGAGACTATTTTCGCCTCCGACGAAACGAGTGGTTTTTGGTGGACTGCATTGCTTGCACCCCAGAGTAGTCCAGATTGTGGCAGGGTATTGTTTCTCGAAATTGGCGCCCACAAATTATGGCTTTGAATGGGGATAATGTCTTCGATACGAGGGGCGGATCGAACAGTTTTTACTGCCTCGGGAATGTAAGTATTCCAGACAGCAGGCTCCGGCTGGCGTAGACCAAAAGTATGGGATTCTAGGACTGTTGACCCAGTAGTCCATAACAGAGATTCAGATTCGGGGCGATCCTCTGGAATAGGTTCCTCTGCTACCAGTCCATCATCACGGTAGTCATCTTCAGTTAGCATTTCAGTTTCATTGTTAGAATATATAGGAGAGTGTGTTGGTGAAGGGTCCTGGAACGGCTGAGGAAGCAAACTATTCTTAGAGGGCAACCTTTCAGTTTTCAAGAGACTTGCAATCTCCCAGAGAGTATTCTCGTCGAAGTCTTCTCCATCGTCACTGTCTGAGAAGTCAAAGTTGTCGCCTTCTTCTTCTGCTTCATAGTCGTCAAAGAAGGATGTTGTGAACTCTTCCGCTTCCAACTGCCTGGATCTGGCGTCTAGAGAGGCGTTCATAACTGGACCTCCTGTAGTCATAGTTCCCGGCATGGCCCCATACATACGAGCAGGCCGGGGTTGGATACTAGCAACATCGCTCTTTTCACCCCAGGGAAACTGGAAGAGACCCAAAGTCCCACGTTTGTCCGGTAGAGGTTCGGGGTTTTCCAGGATATCAGGCAAGAGGGTAACACGCTTGTTCTTTCGAGGCGGACGCATAGTGACTGGGCGAGCAGCGACGCCAAGATCCTGCGACGGAACGTACTTCTTCCATAGACCATTTGTGATCCCCGTGCTTTTAGTCTCCGAGGGCTTTTCCCATAGTCGCGAACTTTCGATAGTCAAAGAGTCTCGGGCCTTTCGAATATTCGGGCGCATCGACAGACCCGGAAGATCTTGAACCTCATCAGTTGCTTGAGGCCTTTTAACTACCCCAACCCAGAGTCCCGAACTAGCTCCATTTTGTACAGGTGACTGTTGTCTCCAGAGTCCGTGCTTTGGAGTCACTAGTTTGGACAGCACCGTGTCCAGGAGTTGAACACTTCCAGGTGCTTCGTTTTCGTAATCAGATTCATCAGTATCAGGAGGGCTCGGACTACCCAATGCAGCTTGCGAGACAGCCAAGAAGTTAAGATTGTTGATCTTCATGATCAAGTCGGGGGTGTCTTTCAAGTACTCCATCTGAGCCTCGGCAACACGAGCTTGCCAAATACTAGCACGCATGTTTTCGGAGCTTACTCCAGAGCTTTGAGATGAAGGCGTACCAGTGACATCTCCAACTTTAGATCGAATAGCCTTGTTGCGCAGAGATTCTCTTCGAGATGCTCTACGTTCAGCAATCGAGGGCGGTCGAGAATCTCTAGATATCGAAGTCCGAATGGTTGAAATAGAGTCACGGTCAAGACGGTTTTGTGAGGATTGCCATTGATTTTCCAGCTGACCCATTTCACGCTCCAGATTCTCCAATAGTGCTAGGCGTTGTCCTTGACTCCCTACCGAGTCCCGATTTGGTTGTTCAAACCGCTGTAGCTGGGCTTGAATCATTTGATAAGCAGCTTCGGGTGACTCAACTGGCGAAGGCTCCGCAGCTTGCACTATTACAGCTCTTTTAGTGCTTCTCCCGTTTAAAATTAAAGGGGCCGGAGGTGGCATTTTTCTAAGCCGTCCCTTGTCTTTCCTGGTAGAGAACGCCGGACACTCTTCGCCGACTCGATGGTGGAAACTAACTAGATTGGCGGGCTCAACAGCGAGTGCGATAGGTGATTCTCGGTCATTCTCAGGAATTACTTCCATGCTCTTACTAGGGGTATCAGGAGGCGTGCTTTTCTCGGTCTGTTCCCCAGAGCTGCGGCTATCTTTTTGAATATACGTCGAGTGGGCGTTTAATCGCGATTGCTGAACATGGACTGGAGCAACCGGGGAGTGTACCGAACCCCAAGGAGAACCCACGTCTTCATTCTGGGCTTTAACTTCACTCGTCGAAGCCAAGCTAAAATGGCTCCCTGCCGGGATAACGGGGGAGGATTTGCGATTGATTCTATCACGGGACACTTGTTGCTGTCTTTCGTTTCCGACCGAAATTCCTGGGAGCCACGATTGTCCTAATTCATCGACCGCATTCCGAGAGATATCGGCCTTTGGCATTTGTCTTTGAGGGATATCCTCAATGCCGAGAATACTGGTAGTTCGTACTGAGCTCCTGTCGGTTGTTTTCGACACTCTCCTCTCACTAGTTACTTCAACATCAGGAGCAGCCACAGGCTCAGCTCGTCGCATCTCCGCCATATACGTCGGCGGCAAAGGGGGCATCTCAGGTACTGCGGGCCGCCGTCTGTTGGCAGCTCCGGTTGAAGGGGCGCTTAGAGGGGTTGTATACAAGAAATCCATTTTCTCATCGAATGTCATACTCTTAGCACCATTAGAAAGGCTTCGCGAAATGGCACTACCTGCACTTTTAGGCGGTGGCGGTAAAGGTGGCAGTTGTGTAGGACTTCCAGGCATGGATTGGAGAATAGATTTCCTACTTCCAATTGAGCCTCCCGATTTGGACCGTTTGTGGCTAGGGGAGAGCTCAGCGGGGAAAACCTGACGATCCTTGTCTCCTTTTCGGGGGATCGGGCGAGGACGGTTAACAACTGAGTCGGCAGAGTCAAGGGACGTCATCGGGGTTTTCGAAGCGCTCTGCATGATATTGTTGACAGCATTTGGATCATCATATACAATATTGTTAATGAACATTACTGTTTCCTGCCTCTGGCTCTCAGCCTCTTTAGCTATCGATTTCATTGCTTGCGCACGGGGATTTGACGGGAGTCCTATCGTTGGACGTCGCTGGAGCGGAGTTTTCACTGGTTCCGGAGACTTTGGTGATTCAGGCGGCGTTCGAGGTCGTGGAATCGGTATACGAACCGGCTCACCAGGTCGAATTGGTTGGAATTTCGAGGGCATTGGCGGTGCAGGAGGTTGGCGTGGCGATCTCCTCCTCATCTTATCCGTACCGGGTGATAATTCTGACGACGTGGAAGATGCATTTGCCTCAACTGATAATCCTCCGGTTGTCTTAGTTGTCTTAGTCGAAATGGATCTCGCCAATTCTGGAGTAGACGATGGCGGAATCTCTTTCCGCTTCATACTCATCCCCCTAGTAAGCATTCCCTCTTGTCCCGAAACATTCGGCGGTTGAGGAGCTGGTCGCTGTGCGATGAGAGTTGACCCGCGTTGTGCTAGTTTGATTCGACGTTCCTTTTCGTAATTGGCAGCCGTAGCAAGATCGACCGTTGGTATCTTGTCAAGGGGATTCCCCATACCTTCCTGTTCAACAAGAACCGGGTTTGAGATTACCAACTTGCCTGCGCCCTTGGCTCGTACGTTCCCTTTAACCACCTTCTTCGCGTTTTTCTGTTCGCCAGACATCTGAGTGATAGGCATCGATATTACAGGCATAGCACCATCATTTCGAGAGGCATATGCCGTCATAGCCATTGTAGTCATGTCCTTAACATCCTCGTAGCGAGTCGGAGGGTAGTCTACAGTATCCGAAGACGAAATATCTCTATTTCCCCCGATAACTCCGGCAGTTGGGGAGTCAGGTCGTCTTGGGGGTGGTCCTCGCGGAGTAACAAGTGTTCCCGAGAGTACGGTAACGAGCGCTTCAAATCATTAGTTCAGGAACATACCTAATCACAGTAAACCAGTAACACATACCAACTAATACCGCTAGACCAAGTGCCGGAAGTGTTGTCTTGAGCACTAATTCGGTCGCTTTCATACCCAAGAGAAGGACGACGCTCGTCTATAGGTGGTTAGTATGGAAACATACATAACATATCAGCAGAACTAACCCCTGTCCATATTGTTAGACCAATAGTTACGACAGCAACACCCTTCTTCGCTGAACCCATCGACAGAGTTCGAATAGCTACCAGAACAAGAATGACGGCATCCAATACGATAACGGTAGCGGCAATGGGCAGAACCTTGGATACGGACACGCAGGTAGGGTTGAACTCGCTCCCCGTCAATCCTATAAACGCCATACCGACACCGAATCGACCAAGGACGAGTATTTGCGGCATTAGGCTTACGGCCGTGTTCGTTTTCTCCGCTCGTGTCGCCCATACTAGGTATTGTTCGATGAAAACCCTGCCCAACTGATCGAAGACAGACGAAAATACTACTGCGACCTGACACGTGGATGCGGCGGTCGGTTCGATGATAGTCGAGAGGAATTCGACAAGGGCCCAAGCGGCAGAAGACGCGAGAAATAATATGAGGACCAGCCTCAGGCCGTCCCGAAAGATAGCCGAACCATGCCCTATGACATACAAAACCAGGGCAGCCGACGCCGCGTTGAACAAGATACCAAAAAAGAAGGCGCCCAAAAGGGCCTGCGTTGCTCCTGGAGTCGCCATGAGGCCGGCGGGGCGGGATATATCGGCCGGGGAAAGAGTGTAGAAACCCAATCAATGGGTATAAAATTTAAAAATATTAACCAAGAAGTGAAATAATTACCTATTCATATTGAGGTGTGGAGTGAGTGTATTACGGCGCCATGACGGTCGACACTGGCGATAGTCGGGCCAAAGACACAAAGGAGAGGGAGAGGAGGGAAGAGGTACAATTAGAAACGAACTGGAGATACGAAGTAGGGGAGCTGAGATGCCACTCGGCAAACAAGCGAGGGTTCCCTCTCCGCGCCGTGTCTGTAGACCTGGGCTTCCGCAATAGTGGATAAAGGTCTGTGATCCTCAAACGTGGGCATTACAGGGTTGTGTTCGAGGTTTCTCAGGTAGCTCCACAAGCTCGGAAAGGCATGATGAACAATTGGGTGAAGATACAAGGCTGAGAGATCCAAGACTATGGTGGATTATCGACCCTAGTCAAGGGTCATTAGATTTGAAACCTGAGCTGTTACACTCGACATGGAGTATTCCCAAGGCTTATCTCTTTTAAGATGGAAGCGCCGACCTGTTTGTTCGAAGAAACGACGCGATTAGGTCGGTCAGAGATCTCATGAACGGTAGACATTATCACATGTATGATCCGGGATTAAAGAGACACGACGGAGACAATTGGTGTTTTCCAGATGCTATATTTGGGAGTGAAATATTCATCATTCAAATCTTCAATGAGACATCTCTCGGATTTACAAGCCTAAGTAGACGCGTAGATAAAGAGTACGTAAAATAAAGGGACTCCATTCTATCAATCCCATTGCATGGTTGACTCTTCGGGTTCCGATGGGGTGCACTGACATTCAAATAGCTATTACCAGGAATAGCACAGTGAGCCAAGCCTTTAGTTAAGCTGCTTAGGGGAATTACGCAGCATCGGATATTAAAAACCCAGCTCATCCGACAGTGACCTTAAGATCTCCTTCCGCAACTCGCACGACATAAGTGTAAATGAACCGCAAATCATACACCACGGAACCAAGGGTAGGCTGAATTTGTACGCATAGATGGGCAGTTGATCAATTCCCTGCTACGTCGGAGAAAACGAGGAAAATGATACTCAAGTCGAGTGGCGAAGATGAGAATCTAGATGGCTGGCTGAGTGGAGCTACGGGACGCACGGGGCGCCCCAGGGGCACGAATAAATCCATCCCAGGCTGTAAGGGGCAAGTACTTGCGGTGTATAACACAGGCTTTTATTGCTGGAAAGGGGTAACTAAAGATACTACACGATACTTCCTCTCGGTAAATAGTGGACGCGATAGATTACGACAACTTGCAATCTCGGATCCGTCCATGCAAGTCATTTCTCAAGCTGGTGAGCCTCAACTATATTATTTATATGAATGACAGGGCTAATTCAACTTTTCATATATATATTATCAAAGGGATAGTCATAGGATTAGTTCAGACTCCGTGAATCTTTTCAAGTACATCACGAACGAAGGGCGAAGGAAATTTCATACACGGAACAGCCAATTCTCTTGAATGTGCCTACAGGAATCATGCTATTATCTTTCCCGAAATAAGCAATTGTAAGCCACAATAAAAAAATCGGAAATTAGGTGGTACTACCATCTACTTCAGTCATAATCTTCCCTTTTCCGAGCTACACTTGATGATATAAGTGGCGTCGGCGTTGAGGCATTACTCGTCGATTTCTACCGTCCTTAGACGGCCGATCCTATTATATTTCATCACCGATTCCCACCTCTATAGTTTACGCTTGGATCTTGTATATCGTGCATCACTAGACCCTGTTGCACCACCGCACCAGGCGGTGAATAACCTCCTAAACTCGTTACCGCCGCCGCCACATTCCTCCAGAAATCACACGCTGTCTTCTCATCCTGTGTATCCTGAACCGTGCTGAACCCCCAATCCCCCAGGTTGACAACCTCTGAGATCTGTTCAGCTTGACTATCCGGATGATTCCACCTTATAGTCGGAGGGAGGTTAAATATCTTTCGGTTGGTGTTTGGGTCTCCTGTCAGGATATAACTTGTAAAATAGCTTTGTAATGCCACGCTGATGCCAGAGACCAATGATCCGATACCTGGGGTCATCAGCGCCGCAAGGTTCTCAAGCCAGCTATTCCCCGTGAGTTTGGAGTTAAAGAAGGTCGGAAAGAGGTCCATTCCGTGCCAGCCCGGTGACACCCCATACTGCATATTCCAGACTTTCGAATCACCGACGCTTTCGGTGAGATGCCGAACATTACACGTGAAACTACTATCGCGAAGAAGGGCTTGGACCCGATCCGTCTGCGATTTATATTGGGACTGGCTAGATACCGCGTAGAAGGCATTTATCTTATCCGTGATTCCAGCAGCTTGTGTATAATTCGGAAATATAGCGTCGACGAATGCCGTAAACTCTTTATCCGTTTGTACTAGACCGTTGACGAATACATTGGCTTCGGCAGTGGTATGAGACAATATGAGTGAATCGATGTTCCAGAAGTTCCCTGTGCTTAGCTCAAGTACGGGAAGCTGACGAATATAAGAGCCATCAGGTGTTGGACCAACCGCAAAGGTACCCGAATATTGCTGCTTCATTAATGCCGTATTTGCTTTAGCAAGAGTAGCTGCGTCCGCGCGCCGAAGACACGAAACTCCTTGGCCAGGACAACCTGCTAAACTCGCGAAAGTTTCGAAAGTCTTTTGAACCGCGCCAGCACGATCCCATATATATTCAAAAGCAGGCGAAAGCAAAATGGCTTTTGAGAAAAGAGGATCGAGCCTCCCACCCTCTCCGATGAGATGGTGTAGGATACTTCCACCTCCGGCTGATTGCCCCATTGCCGTTACTCGTGTAGAATCTCCTCCGACCAGATGGATGTAGTCTTTGACCCATTGAAAGGCTGCTCTCTATTTCACAATGACGTATTAGAATAAATTGTACTTCCAGTTCCGGGATCATGCGACGCGACTTAGTAAAGCTAGGATGGAAAAACTGACCTGGTCCCAGAGACCAGCATTTGGTAAGCCTTCTTTCTCCATTGTAGTCCCAGCGAGGAAGCCATAAGCTCCGACCCGATAATTCATTGCGACGAATATCATGTTGTTTCCTGATTGCGTGACAAGACCAGTACCGTCATAGAAGGGTAATTCTGGCTGCAGAGAGTCCTTACTTCCAAAGACGTATCCGCCGCCATATACGAAAACAACTACAGGTAGCTTCTGGGAAGGGTTTTTTATGGCTTTTCCTGGAACGTCTTCGATTTATTAGTATTCCATCGCAGCCGGTACTTTGTCGTTTTATCATTACGTACTATAAGCCGTATTAGAAACTTCCATGAGAATTCATAAGGGCAAATTTAACCGACCACATATCTAAGAACAGGCAATCCTCGCTACCTCCAGAGAAAATCGGTATGGGAATCCCTCCAAGACTTCCAGCCAATCGTCAATAAGGTCTATTTCCGGAATCCTCAAGATTATATAAAGAATACTCACAACTGGTTTATTGCTCCTCCAACTGGGGATTGATTACCAGTGCCAAGTAGATTAAGCCCATTCGGAGCTGCTTGTACGCATGAATGACCTTTACTCCCGTCCTGGATACCGGACTCGTTCAATGGAGGGGCCGGCTTTGCCCATCGTAGGTCACCAACTGGTGGCGCAGCATACCGAACGTTTTTAAACGTGTAACTGCTTCACATTCAGTATAAGGGGTGTCTCAAGTTACTGCTCATCCAATTGCTTAATCGAAGCTTGACTTACATATCGTTTGCGTTATCATAACTAGCCGCCCTATATAATGCATACGGGAGTTCAAGGATGGGCAACGAATCTCTTGCGTTCCTCGCTGCGGCGGGAGACGCTGAAGTACGGGAAACGAGAGAAGAAAAGAGCGACAGAATGAAAATAAATGTAATAAAGTGCGTATTCATTGTAACTAAAGGAGAGGACGAGTACATTTCTACACCAAACGAGGGAATACACTTCACGGCCCGGACATACCACTTTATGTTGAAGATATAGTAGAATGAGTGGTTGCGACCATTTTAAGTATTAAAATACTTATTCGAAAACTTAAGAATCATGGATTCCGCTCGGTAAAGTCTCGCCGGCAAGCACGTCTGGCAATGCATGCGATGTCTGCCTGCCCTAGAATTGGACTTATCCATTTACTTCATCTTAGAAAGAGTTGAAGGGACGAATCAACTTCGCATCTACAGTTTAACGATATCTTCCGCGTGGGGCCCTGATATAAGAGGTCGCATTCTAGATTCATTTGGTTATTCGATATAAAATTCAGTGCTATTTTAATTATCGCACCGGTGGGCTGCTGGCATTAGTAGGCCAATAAGATGACTTAAAATAGAAGCTCGCCGTGAATTGAATGTGACGACTGACACACGGCGGTAGACGCCACCCAATCAGCTTGAAAAGATGGACTTTCACCCTTAGCTCTCAAGCCTGGGATACTCGATAGTCAACTCAACTAAGAGCATGGTAAAGCACACTTCAAAATAGAGGGTTCCTCGGAAAGAGACTCACATCTAGCTCATCAAGTTAATTGATCAAATATTATTTAATACGTGCGCTCTTAGTAGAACTTCATACCCGACTATTAGATAGTTCCATTCATGCTCATGAAGTATTCGTAGGAAATTGAAGCTGAAATTAAATTAAAAAGAGAAAGAAGAGACGAATAATAAAAAAGAAAAGAAACAGAGCCACATTTTGCGATCGTATTCGTTAAACCAAGCTTTTAACCTGCCAACTTACCATAGAACTCAACGCCTTCATATTGAAGCTTCACTTTATGATTAGCACTTACAACTAATATATGGAACGGGTTTGAGATAGCTGCTTATTGCTAAAATAATATTCCATCTATAATTTTGATCACTTCTTTATCTAATGCAGGCCACCGATGGGTGACGTGGTGTTTTACCTATATGTGCCTCGCCGGACAGCCTAAGCGAGATGGATGACACGACGTACTTGAAAGGGTACACAGTAGATATAATATATGACGGGGTCCGGGGGCAAGATCGAGCCGATGAGATAGGTGAGTGGTATACCGTGTATATTGTACGTGTAAGATTGGATGATCGGAAAAGGGCCCCCAAGATCTGTACAACTGGAAAAATCATAAGGGCACGGCGTCAACGAACCAGTGACGTTATATTGCATGATGGTTCCCTAATGGAAGTCTATAGTGGGCGTCCAAAAATAGGGCCGAGTGAAGACTTAACTACGACGCAGAAATATGGATTTAGACAAGTCAGCTCGGTTGCGCTCATTAAACGATATAGTATAGGATGCTTTCGTCGGCGATTAAAAGGGGCTGTAAGCTTTCGACCCACATCGGTTGCTATAGATTTTTTTTCGACGTCGTTTCAGGAGTTAGAAATTTTCTTCTTAGACTGACATGTGAGAAACTAGGTGGAGATGCTTCTGATATTGACCAACGCGTGGGATACAGATATAGTGGAGTCTATCTAGGACGGTGATTGGGCTTGAGAGCACGGATAACCTAGCATAAGATGACATACCGGCAACTTGGTACCAGTGGAACGGGTTGCGCAAGTATGGAGCCTCAGGCGGACCCAATTCGGCTTGTTAGTTGATACTCTGCGGCTGCCTGCAGATGAGCACACGATAAGATATGCAGATCTTACCTGGTGAAAGGTATGGGAGACGTAGAAGGCGGCGCCGGGGCGGCCGGGATGGATGGGCGGTGTATTGCTGGAGGTTCACCTATGCAAGGGAAGCCGAAATCACAAACGGAGCGGACGCCGGAAGGGTTGACGACAGCGAACGAGCCGAGTACGGTACACATCCGATGTGGACTCGTAAAGAATCACGTTAACAGGGGCCTCCCTGACACTAGAACCCTTCCTCATGTAGCTGAAGCGAACTGGTTGGATGGGACTTAATTCATCAAGGAAGGTCGTCTTCTACCTTACAAGGATCTGGCATACGTGAGAGCTCCATACCCACACCAAGAATGATACTTGAACAATTTTGGTGCTGAAAATACCAAAATTTTTCGCCTTTGTGTGAAGGGCGGATAGGAAGATACTCGGTAAACACTTTCGGTAGGACATACCAATCTTAGATCTGAGGGATCTACAGGCTTGCGCCGCACACTCGTGCTATATCTAAGGGTATCTATCGTGAAGGATGTACTAGGCGATTAGTTGGTCGTTGGTGGTGGGGTGGCTTCGAATTAATTTCCTATCAGAGCTTTTCACACCCTGTCAAACTTGTCAGCTTGCCCACGTTTTCCGGACAGTTCTTGTCTAAAGTGCTTGTGTGTTGCCCTCTAGGGCTTTGATTCTAACACATAGCCTGCGGGTATTCCCAATTCCGCTCGGTGTCCATAATATCTTAACGTGTCAGATGTATATCCTTCTTGAGAGATAGAAGTAGATGATCTATATAATCTATCAATTAAAGGGAAGAATACTGCGAGGGTGTGATATCTACCTCCTACATATCCTCCTACATATGTATAGGTATGTATAAGCATGTAATAAACTTTGGTTTCCGGTTTTGCCAAATAAAAGAAGTTACCTCGATAAATTCCGCGCGCGACCACCTCTGCAAGTTGAGCGCTGGCGTTGTTCGCGTAGGCAAGTTTGGTAGCATTACGGCGACTGGTGGGCGATCCACTATGGCCACGATGGCGCAGATACACCGCTTGGAACGATTCATATCTCAGGATCTCCTTGCTAGATACCTAGTCAAGTATCTTACGTAGCTGGGTTTTGTGGGACTGGCCTTCCCCACAGACGCACTCGCGGGGAGCTTGACATGCACCGTTTTGAAGCTCTACCGTAACGAGAACCCACATCGACTGCACTATTACGTATCGTAGAGGGTACTTGGACGATACCTGCATATATCTGTACGCTAGCTTGCTCCACGGGTACCCTAAGTTGGCTCTGGTCGGTACAGCAATAGATAATGGATTGCAGATGGCAGGTCCGCATCCCATTCCACGTCTCACGTTACGGACTAGGTATCTCTAGGTAGCGTTTAGAGATCGTAAAACAAGGTAAAATAGTTCCCAAGGTCCCTTAACAGCCTAGCTATGCAGGATGAGCAAATCCTTTACTATCTAAGCTGCTAAGTTGTTCTTAGCTAAGCTTTCAATGTTGATCAATTCTGAATTATCCGTAATATAATAGGCTAAGTTACAATATACCTAGTAGACACCTAGTAAAAACGCGCGTAGCACGGGAATAATCTTATATTTTAGGATGGGAGAAATGTTTGCGTGCTATGCCTGTGCGTTGTGTAGCGGATCTAATCTAGGGGGGGAGAAAACGAGGCTCGCAAGGTTTCTAGTTGAGACGGACAGAGCCGCAAATCGGAGTTTTTTATTTCTATTTTTTAATATTGAAATAAGATAGTCTGAGCACAGACTAGTTTCCGTTTCTTACGGACCATTAAAGCTATATTTATTAACGAGGGATGAGGCGGGGAGCTTGTTCATGTTCTACCAATGTCACGATGTTTCTTTACCCTCGACGATATGATATTTGCTTATAATATCATCAACATTACGCAGCATTATCGTCAATTATATTCCATCCACATTACGAATTGAGGCGTGGGAAGTGTGGGGGATTTGGGTCACCTGGACGGTGATTTTTTCTTAGAGAGATTAATCTCATCTTAATACAACCACCGAGAGTCCGAGTGTCTAGTTGGACATTTCTCACGATGAGTTTTTCTCCCCTTCCATTTTTTCAGCAAAGGAAAAAAAAAAAAACCAAAACCGAGAGCTCACCGATGCGGAGTGTCTTGGACCCCACGGATCTGAGGTATATACTTGACGCATAATCTCCGCGTGCGTCGAGTACTATACCCTTGCTAAGACGACCCCAGAAATCCTATCTGTTTTGCTTCTCTATTTCGTAGCTACATGGGTTTTAGGAGGGAAATACATGCTGGGTACACTGTTATTTATTGCCAATGAACATTCCGGCGGTGTGGCTCTGGGCTACCTTATTCTTACCTCGCATTTAATATATTAAAATATCACCATCTCCGTCACCTGACGAACTGAAGGGTAAGCTGTAGGAATTGCGGAAGCCTTCTTCCCCGCGAGCTGAACATTCTCGGAGCTGCTTTAAAACATTTTGAGACGTCACATTGTATCACTGAATAGGAAGAGTATACATGTACTACAATGAATTGGCGTTGCGAAACTTTTCATGACAGTTTTTACTGAGAGTGTAGGTACTTGCGTGATTTAATTGTATACCTCTACCTCTATCCACATCTCCCTTTAGGAAGATGTTGCTGTATATAGTCGTAACTAATGATACTAATAGATATACACTTACACTTGAACTTTCTAAGTTTAGTTTTCAAGTATCTCTTTTTGGATCAATCTTGACGGAATCTACAGTTAAAGTAGAGTTCTATAAGTTCTATACTAAGCAAACCTATAATTACATAGTACAAACAAAGATTTAAACCAACAAAAGAACCAAACTTTATTAGTTTCTAACTAGATGCGGGAAAGCAAGAGGTGTTTTAATCTCTTAATTGGATGTATTACTACGAATACAAAATAGTTGAGCCCCCCCCACGTCGGATGTACCTAACTTGAGAGGCGTTCGTATGAAGTACAAACAATTGCATAGTAATGAAGCTAAGTAACTGTATATGCGTGACGAGGATGAAATCCTATCGTTTTCTTTCTTTCTTTCCCCCCTATTACAACTAGGTCTATTCCATTATTGACTCCCTTTTCGATGTACCGTATGAATTATTAGATTCAAATAAGGTTAGTTTCGAAATTCTATAGAACAAACCTGGAAGACTTTCCAACAAACTAAATAGGCCCAGGTAGGGGGGGAGCTTAGAAAGCTAAAGAGCAAGCTAAGTAGAAAGCCGCGTCCATTCGGCTGCATGCCGGACCCATCGCCCCATTATTTCCCCAATTTTAGGCCCCGTCAGGTCGGTTTGAACGTAAGAGGTACCTACAAGTTACTACTGAGAAGCAAGCTTGGCTCGGCTGGGTACGTTCTTGGCAGTTTGCTAGGGACCCTGGACCCCCTAAAAGCTACCTAGGTACTGCATAATACGGGGCCAACAAGCCTGCAAGCTACCCTTGATCGACATCTGTTCTGTTCAAGTCTACCTAAGAAAGATTTTCTCGTCCGTCTTTGCGTAGCTATCCGCCACCCTCATCCGTTCTTTGTCTGGTTTGATCCCGGTTCTTAGAAAAGATAGGTAGGTAGGTGGTTACCTAGGTAGGTATGTGATACATACGCCTACATGTTATGGCGCGATATTATGTACATGCTTCTCCTATCTCATACTTTTCATACCTCCTCAAACGTATATTACAGTACAATATTTCTCTTGTATTATACGTATATTCCCCTCTTGTTTATTAGCTCCTACGGCCGTGTCCACTGTAGGCAGGTACCCATACGATACTTGGATAGAAGCTATCATAACCTTGGAAGTTCATGTGGTGTATCTTTGTGGACTGGCTTGTATGGAACCTGTTACGGTCTCGGAGTTAGCGAAACTGGACACTCAAGATCAACTAATCTAGAGCGACGGTCTACCGTTAGCTGCTGACCTAGAGTCCCTTCGTTCGCCTGCCATGTATCGTAAAGGGGAAAAAATTGAGGTGTAAGTCCTGACAAGTGTCAGAAAAGAAAGTCCACATTTTTTGTTGAGGGAAGGGAACAATAAGCGATAACTAGTCAGAGTAGAAAAGGACCCTTCTTGCAATTGACTAGTTGACGTTATATTTGTTATTTCTATTTCATCAACCTTTCATCTCTATCTCTATCTGAAGTGAAGCCGAAAGTATTATCAAAGACGAGTTTACCGCTTTTGCATAACTATCTTCTAGCCTTCGTCGTACATAACAATACAAATACATCTAGTATTGTGCCCCTGTCGAATCCTCGAAACAACTCACGAGACAAATATTTCTCTCCCCACGCCCCCTCCCTAGACTTTTTTACTACCTACCCCTAGAGCTTTAGGTCGACGGTCAGACGAAATTATACCTCTTTTGAGCTCGAACGCAAAGACCATATAACAAAACCCAAAAAATATCTGTCAAACTCGTGACATAGGGTGCTAGTTCACGATATTATTACCGACCAAGCTTTCAATTTATCGAAGCTTCGTCCTTGTGACCTTCATATCTCACACATAACCCTGGAATCATATTTTCTGGCGGCGCTACCCCCGATCTCGGATTCTTTACTACATTGGCCATTGCCATACTTCCCCTGACATTCTTATAAATTGGACTTGTTTGCCTGTGCCCCCCCGGATCTACAAAAGTTAACTCTTGTGTTGTGCTTCGTCATTTATTGCCACCTCAGAGTTTCCGGTAACCTCGAGACGATCGAACCTAGACTAATTCATAGTCAATCGCGCTTACACCTTAGTCAATTCCTGGTTCGGATGCAAAACCAAGCTGCCTAGCCACATTTCTTCCTCCCCTGCATCCTTGCACATACATATACAATACCTACAATAAGAGGGTGTACTCTCCCATCTACCTAAACAAATACCTACCTACCTCATATTTACTTCACATTTTATACCTTCGTATACAATTCATCATATATCTATCAAAATGTCGAGTCGTTCAGCGCTTCGCATTACCCGAGCTGCTGCTCCCTTTTTCTACAGCACTCGCGCATCTGCGCCCATCTCCAGAACCTTCCCTGCCGCTCAGCGAGCATTTAGCCAATCCGTCATCCGCCCTAAGAGCGACGTCGTTCGCGAGACCGAAGTTCCCGTATCGGTCTATTCTCCAGACTCGAAGGGCACTGCTGGATCTACGAGCGACCACTTCAGCATTCCCGTAAACCGAGACGATGCTAAGCCGAAGCCTTTCCCTCCCCCAGAGGAGACCGAGGTGGAGCCCCTCACTCGCAGTGTTTACCGCCAATTGCCTCCCACGATGCAGAAGATGAGCATAATGGACAAAGTTGTGATTATCACTGGGTAAGTTATATATCCCGCTACAGCCTACGTAATTGAGGTATACTCTGAAACAGCGTGCTGACATGGTCTTGATACAGTGGTGCTCGAGGTCTCGGAAACCACATGGCCCGCGCCTGCGCCGAGGCCGGTGCTAAGGCCCTAGTAATCTTCGATGCGAACCAAGAACTCGGTGACGAGGCCGCCGCTGAGTTACACCAAAAGACCCAACTGCCTGTTTCCTTCTTCAAGGTTGACGTTCGTGACGGCGCTGCCATCAACGCTGCCGTAGACTCCGTTGTCGAGACCTACGGCGCCCCCGATGTCCTAATCAACAGTGCTGGTATCGCCGACTCCAACATTAAAGCCGAGACTTACGACCCAGCCATGTTCCGTCGCTTGATTGACATCAACTTGACTGGTTCGTTCCTCATGAGCCAGGCTGTTGGACGCTCGATGATGGCTGCCGGAAAGCCCGGTTCTATCGTTCTTGTTGCCAGCATGAGCGGTAGCATTGTCAACTACCCCCAGGAGCAATCCTGCTACAACGCTTCCAAGGCTGGTGTTATCCAATTCGGCAAGTCTCTCGCCGCTGAGTGGGCCAAGTTTAACATCCGCGTCAACTGCATTTCGCCCGGTTACATGGACACTGCGCTGAACCGTGTTCCCGCCCTCGAGGCCCAGAAGAAGATCTGGCGCTCTTTGACCCCCCAGGCTCGCCTTGGTAACGTTGATGAGCTCAACGGGCTTTGCGTCTTCCTTGCCAGCGACGCCAGCAGCTTCATGACTGGTGCCAATGTAGCCATCGACGGTGGCTACACTTGCTACTAAACCATTCTCTTTCTAGTTACGCTATTATCGACATGCTATGTCGAGATGCAACTAGTAAGAACGTGGCGTGCCTATAGTATTGCGGCTCTGGTTCTTTAGCCGGATTCTGCGTATTACGTGGCAGCACTAGGTAGCTTGGGGTCGAAGGGTAGACCATGTGTGTGTGTGTGTCCCATCCGCTGCGGGGACCCCCCTTTTAAATAACCCTCGAGTGTGGTTACGTTGCGTTTGGCAGTGCGAAGAATTTCAATATGTGTGGTTCCCGGAATGTCCTGAACACATCCGCATGTTGCCATTTGCATACATGTAAGCAGACTTCTTGACCGAAGTTTTCCTCGTTTGACCAACTCAGCCACTGGACCATATCGAGTATCACCACGCCATTCTTGTATACCTAAGCACCTGTCCGAGGGGCACCGGATACGAACTCGGCGATATTTGCACGGCCGGTTTACTGGTGTGTGGCCCTCGCATTCCGGTTTATTTCTTTTTTTCTCTTTGGGTTTATTGCTTTTCGGGATGATGCAGTTCATACGCGTGGCATAGACTTATAACATACTTATAATCATCGGGATATCTGGAGTCAATTCGCAGCACGGAGAACAAAAAAATTTGTGGGAAAACGGGGGTTGATACCAAATACCATCATAGAGGGGCGAGATGATTTTCTTGCTGTTTTCCTGGACAAATCGTCAGGAATTTGCTCTTAGAGATTAGAATTACCCTCATATGGATTCACCCCGGACCTGACAACGGAATAGGGATCCGGTCTAGATATGGATAGTATAGGACTGATCCCCGTGCCCGCTTCAGTGCGGCTTGCATGAAATAGAGAATTGAAGAAAGAGTTTCTTCTTTACAAACTACAGCACTCACCTTTTCTCATGTGAATATGTATCTTTAGGAGTCTGGTGATTATAATATTCTTGAGCAAATCCGTACTAGCAACTTTACTCAACTACCCAACCCACACGTCGCTTGCACGACTTGCATTAGATACGTAGTCAATCGGGTAGGAATATATAGTTAGGTAGGTAGTATAGAAGCACCGAAGACCTAATGCTACTCTGATGATACTCTTTCTAAAAGGGGTTTATTTTAGACGGCTATGCTAAAAGCGTATCCGTTTCGTCTAACCGATTTCTAGTTTCCAATGAAGATGGTCCAAAGGGTGGTATCGTTTCGCTATGTACAAAGTAGGGCGCAGCTCTCCAAGGAGTATCTGACCTTAATCAACCGCCGCCTTACGTTTCCCTCTTATTTCGCATCATCTTCGTATGGACTCGAGTAAAAAAATGCTCGCTCTATGGCTAGAAGATATAGCAACATACCTCTTTGCCAGTTAAGTGTACCCCTGGCTTTGTTTTTCTTTTGAATGGATCGCGGTTCTCACTCAATTATTTAGAGTCCATCAGCTCGAATCATTCCAATGTCCTCGGAATTGTTGTAACGTTGGCGACACATGTTTTATTGACCTTTGTTGGCCTTTTCCTCCAATCGAGCCTCCCTAGCCGCCCGAACGAGCGGGGATAGGGATGATAGGTCGACACATGTCTTCATAAACTCGTGCTATATCGAGGTTAGTTTCTTTTTCTGGCCAATGAATCCACGAATTGGAGAAACGTACTCGAAGTAGATCATGCGCGCTCGCCCTTTTCTCTGGGTCAACTTTCAAGGCGAAGTACAAGAAATCTCGGAATACCGCAGATAAGTTATGTTCTTCCTTGATTTGCGGCGTCCCGTTGGTAGCAATTAACCATAAAGCGCGGAGTGGTGACTCCGTAAGATATGGCGGCTCCCCTTCGATCATTTCAATGGCCATGATACCCAGTGACCAAATATCGACTTTTCTCCCATATTCTTTCCTTGTAACAACTTCAGGTGCCATCCAGTACGGCGTACCGACCATTGTAGTCCGCTTATTATGTGCCTCGTTAATTTGCGCGCAGAAACCGAAGTCGGCTACGGGGAATCAACGTTAGACCGCAATTTATAGATAAGGAATAGGTCCAACTTACTGAGCTTGATATTACCATCCAAGGACAGTAAAATATTGTCCGACTTGATGTCTCTGTGAATAACTCCTTTAGAGTGTAGATGTTGAAGGCCTTTTAGGGTCTCTCTACAGACTGAGGCGATTTGTCCTTCCGTCATTATATTAAAAGTGACAACATCGGTCAAACTACCACCTTCCATATATTCCATTATCACCCATAGCTCACCACCGCATAGATAGCTATCTATGAAGTTGACGATGTTCGGATGTGAGCTTTCCTTCATGACCAAAATTTCGTTGATGATTAGGTCCTTCTTCGGCTGTTGCTCGAGGTTCATCTGTTTGATAGCTACTAGTCGGTTTATTCCTCGCTCGTAACCGGTATAGACGCCTCCGGATGCACCCTGTCCGATCTTTGTGAAACCACGATAGATCTCACGAGGGTCGCCTTCAGAACAGATACGCTTCAGGGCCGCTGCTACATCTATGCTAGTACTCTGTCGTGGTCGATTACGGGGACGTGGCTGTTGTGCTGGAGGTCCTGCACGTCCCGGATGAGCCGCACTGCCTGCGCCATTAGCTTCTGGTGCGCGACCCATTTGATGCTGCTGTTGCGAGCTCGAGGGTATCGGCTGGGTGGGAGGCTGCTTAGTACTCGCAGATCTACCGAGTTGACCCTTCATAGCAGCCTGAGCTTGCGCCATGGCTTGCTCTTGTTGATGCTGCATTAATTGCTGTTGGTATGCAGCCTGGACTGCAGGCGAAGGTTGGCCGACAGGCGTATGGGGTTGGGACCCGTTAACGCGCGAGTTCGATCTCGACCGATGCTCTTCGGGGAGCATTGGAACATTGTCCTTCGGCGGGGGGGCGTGAGGACCTGCCGAGTGCATATCCTCACCGGCTTGCGTCATACCGATGCCCGAATCCTTGGTGGGATAGGGCAATTGTTGCGCGGCTCGGGTCTGTAGAGAGACGGGGGGTTTCGGCGCGGGTCGGCTAGGCTGCAAGTTGGAGTGGTCCTTGACAGAGTGCAGCGTCGTCGGACTCTTCCCAGGTATGGGTACCGGAGGGGGGGCGCGGGGGTTCTCGAAGGTGCCTTCATTATTCACGATTGGAAATCTCGGACTTGCTGGTGGACTGATCATAGGTGACATACCCGCATAGTTTGATGCATACATGCCGGGGGATGTTGCCATTCCACCAGAGGGGGTGCGCAATTCAGGAGCTCTCACATCGTGGAATTTCTCCAGGACCTGATCCTCATGCGGCTTCTCTGTGGTCTCTTTGTAGAAAGTGACGAGATTTGCAATCATCTGGGGGTTTTCCCTCTGAGCATTCTCTGGAATACCACTCTCGTTGATTAGACGTTGCCATTCTTTGGGCAAGCCCTGCAAGGGGGAGTTAGCAAGGGGGAGAACCCGAGGGTTGGGCGAAGGTAGAGGTCAAGATCGAAACTAACCGTGAACTGGCCGGTAGAACTATCGTAGCCGACGTGGGTGACGTGAACGGGATTTTCTGGTGCCGAGATAACAGGTTTTTTGGGCGACCCCACTAATGTGCTCATGAGGCCGGAGAAGCCCGACTTTTTTCTTAAGACGCCGGGGCCTTTGAGTTCTTTGCCCTCGTCTGAGTATCGTTTCGGGGGTAGGACATGATTCTCGTTGACGCGCGCGCCGTGGGACTTCTCCGACATGTTGGCGTCGAGAGCGGAGAAGCTAGCTGATTGTCGTAAAGGAGGACTCATCACACGCGGGTCAGGACTCGAAGTCGTCGGCGAGGGTTGTGCTGGGCGTGCTTGGGAGGAAGAGTATTGATAGGTGGGCGACTTGGTGGCCTCGAAATGATTCAGGATGAAATTGCCGTCAAAAGGCGCACCTACAAACTCTTCGGGTGTCTGGGAAGAGAGTGGATGGCGAAGATGGGAATCGGATAAACGTTGGGTTCCCGATTTCGAGGATCCAGTGCTAGCACCAATGCCAATGCCTATGCCAATGCCGACCCCAGATCCAATTCCGGCTCCGTCAGCAGCGGCGGGGGGGAATAATGGGTTGTTGGGGGGCGGAAACGGGGACGAAGGCGAAGGCGAGGGCAAGGGCGAAGACGAGGCTACCTGATGGTAAGGAGTCGAAGAAAAGGTAGAGGGTAAAAATTGGCCGGGAGACAGTGTGGGCGGAGAGCGAGCGGAATAACTGCTGTAGGGATTGTTGTGATGGTGATTATTGCTGCCGCCGCTGTTGGTAGAGAAGGTAGTGGTAGTAATGGTAGTGGTAGTAGTAGTGGTAGTAGTGGGAGTTGGCGGATGACGGGGCGATGCGGAGGAGTTTAACGCGTTGTTAATGCCCACGTTATTAGCAGCAGTGTTAAAAGCGTTAGCACTGTTAGGCGTTGTAGTAGTTGCGGGCGTTCTGTGGGGAGCGCTTGGAGCACGCCTCAAACTCGTGGAGCTCCGTTTGCTCTTGAGGGATTGGGCGTCAAAGCGACCATCAGCGGTGAGGGAGAAGCTATGGCCGTGATGATGGTGTTGAGAGGAAGGAGGAGGCTTCTTAGTTAATCTGTTACGCCGTTGCTGTTGCTGTTGCTGCTGCTGCTGCTGCTGCTGCTGCTGCACCTGCGGGCTGCTATTGCTATCAACATTATTACCGTTAGTACTGTGGCTGTCCATCGCTACCTTAAAGGTAGGTGTAGGTACAAAGTAGGGGCGGAAAAATAAAAAAAACAGAGTTTTTTTAGTCAAGCCTTGCTTATTTTTTTGGAGAGGAGGGGGGGCAGGCAAGTGATTTTTTTTAGTGACAATTAAAAAAATAAAAGAATCCTGAGAATGAAGAATATGGGTCAAGCGATGAAACCATAGCTGACGAAACTAGAAAACACTTGACATGATTGATATTGTAGGTAGGTAATTAGGTATTTGAGAGGAGGGAGGATATAGAAGGGGGGGGGGGGGGGGGGGGGGGGGGGGCCCAAAAAGGGTGCATGTACCGAGGGCCGTTACGTTTTTTTTGCAAT